AGTTTTAGTCCAAATAACCTTGAAATTGAAGGTCAAGGTCAGATCTGACATTTATTTTGGGGTTGTTGGGTATAGGTTTGGAGTAGTTTACTATAGCATGTTATCACAAAAAATCAGTATTTCATGGAGAAACTGACAAAGTCACTATTTCTGTGACATCATAAATATTCTAAAATCTATATTTAAAAAATGTATCATGCAATCGCTACGAAAGTTCAATTGACTTTACATAAGACTATAAGGCATCATGTGCATCTAAGAACTAGGCTCTGGGCCTCCCGGTTTTTGAGATATGGGAAAGAAACCTGTTTTAAGGCAGTTTGGCCATTAGCGACCTCGACCTTGACCTACTTGCACCTACATTTGGAGATTTACCTCAGTATCATTGGCCAAAAGGTCCTTAGCCACATAGATTATACTTTAGGCATAAGTGCAATTTCAAATTTTGCAAATTTCGTCTTTAAATGTCCCTGTGACCTTAAAAAGTGGGTCAAGGTCACTGTTACTGGGTGTATAGCTTATTCTGACCATAGGCTACGTATGATAATTATTTCAATTTTTTTTTTTTTTTTTTTTTGCGAAAACAAAAAATTAGTGGAAAAGAAAAATGCCCAAATGAACTTGAAATTGAAGGTCAAGGTCAAATTTGACATTTGATGTGGGGGTGTTGGGTATATGTTTGGTGTAGTTCACTCAGCAGGTTATCACAAAAAATCAATTTTTCATGGAGAAATTGACAAAGTCACTATTTCTGTGAAATTATTAATATTTAAAAATGTATATTAAAAAATCTAATCAGTCAATTGTCAATATTATAAGCGACTGCACTGGATAGATCCCCAAAGCAACTTTTTATATCATCCTTGCGGCTCTGTGACATCTGGTTTACCCCCTGCAGAATGTCAACCACTTGGAGCATATCGTGCAATAGGTTTACCTTGACATGACCTACTTTCCCTAAAATTGAGTCACATGATATAGAATTAATGTGTGACCTCACCTATGAAAGAATTTGTCAAAATGTTGAAATACTAGGAGATATTGCATTTTGAAATTTGCAAAATTTTCACTTTAAAAGGCTCTGTGACCTTGAAAATTAGGTCAAGGTCAATGAAATTGGCAGGGGCAGGGTACTATTATTGAAAGAAAGAAAACACCGCAGGGATGACAATGCTGTTTCCACGGTTACCGAGACAGGCCACATGGGCAACCCGCAGAGACCTGCATGCTATGCCAGGGTCGATTTCGGCGACACTGAACTGCCTATACGCAATCAATATCTATTTAAGCGATCATCTAGCTACATTGTTTAAATTGATAGACCTTTGATATACCAATTAATGACCCCAACAAACCACTATCAGTGACGTTCTAGGCGTAACGTCATATTGATTAAGATATCCCATTAATCTAACAAACATGGTTGAAAGCACGTCAAGCAGAAACACGCGGTGCGCGTGCCCATGAAGTGAAGCTATGCAGTTATCGGATATAAATCGGCATTACAAACAAAATCTAATCTGACCATTTATTAAACATGATAAGCACATAAATTTCAGTTTAGATCGTGTAGTTGAACAAAGTCCATGAGATGATTTGGTTATCGAACACGACTACCGCATATTCTTTTACACATGTGACTTCACAATGTATCGCACATGAATTAATTAGTATGATTATGTTTGTACAGTATGACGGATAACCATCGCAGTAGTATATAATACCCCTGACGGTTAGTATTTCTGAGGGGAATAATTAGCGGGATGCGGATAATGCACAGGTGAATTAATCAAAACGATTTGCATTTCTTTTACAGTGTGTGTGTGTGTGTGTGTGTGTGTGTGTGTGTGTGTGCAGGAGAGAGAGAGAGAGAGACTAGTCGCACAAAGCGAGAAACAGCCATTTACAATATTCATTTTCAAATTATATGAAGCAGTGAAAAAACTATAATTAATTGGATTTTCAGATCACCCACAGTGTCATAACCATGTACTTCCTGCGTGCCACGTGGCAGTTGCTGTGGTTACGATTCCAATACACACGGCGCCATAAGCTGAACACGTGCATCACTCTCTTGCTGTTTTGTGCAGCAATTGCCATCCCTGTTACTTACGTGTTTATCATAGATATTGGATCGGGAGTGACAACCGTCCCTGATGAAACATTCAGTCCACAAAAAGATTTCCAGTATCCGGGGGTACCCGGGGCATTTTGTTTGGGGCTTGGAGTTGCGCCCGCAACGAGCCGTGGGAATTACACCCCTACCAATTTTCTTCATTGGTTCAATATCTCTCTGGGCCGATCTACACTTAATCAGACGTTCATTGGTAAGTAAACTTGTTAAAGAGAGTTTGTGAGATTGAAAGTAAAATAATTGAACACTGCAAAAACCATGTTAGGCATATTTGATCATCAAAGAATTTTGAGATGAAGGAAAAGGGTGATTACCAGTTCATTGTACCAACGACTGTATAAAACGTATTTAAGATCACTTTATCTTAAAATGCAGTGATAGAATGGTCGATGAACAATGTCCACTCTTCAACGAAATTTAACTAAGTAAAATAAAGGCGCTCAGTCTCATGACAAAAAGGGATGCTCTAATAAAATATCACTTTAAAACATTTATCTGTGATCATATTTTAACCTCAGTGTATCGACTAGCCAACAGTGACGTGTTAGAAGACTTGATCGAGCAAAATGCAAAAGCATTTGATCTTGTGGGCGGGGTAGTCTTCAATGACGAAAGTTTTGACAATGGTATGCCAACCTCCAAGTTCGGATACACTATCCGCCTCCGTTCAGAACCGTCGTTACATCACACAAGAGAGTGGTTTACGAACGTCTTAAGAGCGTTCTATTTCGAAACTGGCCCTGGTAAGACGAATGTTTTTGTACTTTTGTGAATCAGGATAAAGAAGATCCGTACCTTTTTGGCCAAATTAGATAGATTTTTATTTGTATATCACATAACACGTAAAATGTACAACAGAAAAGAGAAGAGTATAATTTAAAACTCATTAATACATCTAATCCTTTCGTTAACTCATTCGTATAATAAAATTCGCATATTGCACATGTTTCAGAACCAATATACAGGGTTACCACTTAATATGGAATATTTTTTATCATTGTTATTTTTTAGTGCTGATTAATTTTTTTTTTGGCTTGAGTCATTAAAAAAGTATGTCACTGAGTGATAATAACATCCAGTCTTCTGTTGTGAGAAATTTTGGTCAATAATATTAAATCTGACATAAGATGCCATTCAAAAGAAAGGAACACCCCCAGAAAACCATATCAACAGTTTGATGTCAGTATAAACTTTAAGATAAGATATTAAAGAAAATGATAGCCTCCGGACAGTGATATGTTACACAGTCAAAGAACTCACTACAGTAAATCATGAAAAGTCAGTAATTGCGGGTATGACTTCCAGCAGCCGCTTGCAGCGCACTCATCCTACATGGCATATCCTGTGACACGTTTTTTAGAGTTTGGGTGGGGATATCATTCCACGCAGTGATATTTGCCTGTCGCAGTTCATCACTATTTACCGGCCGAGGACCATAGCTATTAATTCTGTGAGTTACTTCCGCCCACAGATTTTCAATTGGGTTCATATCTGGAGAGTTTGCAGGCCAGGGCAGTTGCTGAACCCATTGGTTTTGAAGAAAAACAGTGATTCTGCGGCCTCGATGTGGGGTTGCGCAGTCGTCTTGGTACACAAAGTTGTTCCTGAAGATGAATCTTACCAATGGAAGCATTGTTTGCTGTAGAACGTCTCTGTAGGAATCCTGGATGAGGTTGCCTCCTAGAAAAACCAACTGGTTCTGGGCACCGACATGAAATGCTCCCCAAACAGAGAAGTTACCATCCCCTGGTTGCACCCTAGGCAGTACACAATCATTGTTTTATGCCCCTCGTACACGTCGGTGGACACGGGTTCGATGATCAACCCTAAAAAATCCATATCTGGCCTTATCACTGAAAACAACGTGATTCCAGTGTTTTGGCTGCAAACGCACGTGGTCCCCAGCCCTTTGCAGACGTCGCTGTATATGAACTGCTGTTAACAGTGGTCTCCCTACTGGCCTTCGTGCAAAATAACCGGCTTGCAGAAATCTCTTGTTCACGTGGGACCTTGAAACGGGCGTTTGAATGACATTCTGCCTCTCTTTTCTGAGGACACTGGTTGTCTTTGTACGACCAGCACGGCGTCCACTAAGGAGAAGGCGATCCTGTCTTCTTGGTGTGATACGCGGACACCCTGGTCGAGGTATTGGAGTAGGTGCCCCTGTAGCAGCATTTCTTTAGAGGACTTCACAAACGGTTCCTGATAAATGTTGAATTACCTGGCAATGGCTGTCCGTTTCTGGCCATTTTCTCTGAGAGCAAGAATCCTATAGTAAGCTGCGTTGCCTTGTTGTCGTACCATATCTTCACTAAGGTACCTGTCAAGTTTCAGAGCGATCCCCTTGTTGCTTCTCTAAACACGCTCCAAAGATTGACAAAACCCATGCGTTTTTATACAAGGGCAGAAATTGCCGAAAAGACCACCCCTCACATTTCTGACCACAGAACATGCAACTGCATGCATCAATTGTTTCGAGAGTTGTGTGGTAATTAGGTAACACATCTGGCTACACATGGAGTGACATCTCAGCTTTGGATTTAAAGTAGTTAGAGAGAAATTAAATATTTTGTAGAAAATTTATTCGCCAAAAAATTATATTCCATATTAAGTGGTAACCCTGTATATATTTTTAGTCGTCTTAAAATGTGCACATGAATTATTCATCTTCAGAATACGACAAAAACGGGTTTCTTGCCATCCAAGATGCTGTGGACAAATCTTACATCAGTATGGTATTGAATTCTAGTCACCTCGATCTCCATTTTCCTACACGACTCAAGCGATTCCCAACGCTGGAGCACAAGACAAATAGAGACCTTGTGACTGATCAACTGAGTTACTTTTCCGAGCCCCTTGCCGCCGTTGTAATTATTGGCTGTATATCTTTAGTTTTGGAAGTTACGCGAGGAATATCATATGAAAAGGAAACGGGACTAAAAGTAAGTGTATAAGATCGAAAGTGTACAAAAAAATAACATTTGGTTACCTGTGTCTACAAAGGGTTCTACCAGCCATTGAAGACAAAATACACGCCTTTCTATTCCACGGTACTGGTCGGGAAGAACCAGTTACCACTTGCATACGACAACATGTATATTTGTAGATAAATATGATATATTTTATATGTTGAGGTTATTAAAGAGCGTGTGAAAAGGATAAATAATGTGATGAGGCATGATTGCCCCAAAGAACAGTTACAAAGGTCCATAGCTTTTAAGTAATGATAGAGTAATCAACTCCAAATTACAGTATTAAACAGCCAAGTAAAGGCATACACATGCCTGTGTAGATGATCCAATGCAATAGTGTGAGAAAACAGTTTTGGATAGGTTGCATACAACGCCATCTACCTTTTTGATTACTTGGACTTATGTTGTTTTATATATAGGTTCTTTTGAAGACGTGTGGCGTGCCAGACAAGGCATATTGGCTCTCTTGGTTCTTGTACTGGAGCATACCGTACTTCATCATGATGGTCGTGTTGTCAATACTATTTCTATATGCTGGTTCGTGTGAAGACGGTGGCAACCTAGGCACTATCATAAACCACTATGTTGTATTTCTGTTCCTCTTGCTATACGCCACATCGACCATTTTATTGTGCTTTGTGTGCAGCTTAGTTAACTCTACAGGTAAGTGTTACTACACGTGCCATCCTTTTTGAATAAAATAAGTTTTCATGGAAATGAAGTTAGCACATACAGCATTTATTAGATAAAAGCATTTAAAAATTAATCTTAATTTGCTTCAATTTTACTTCTCTATTTACGATATTAACTTTTTGAATTATTTCTTTTGATAAAAGCTAAACTGTACTTATACGCTGACCATTATCTGTGACTAAGATGTTTTTAAAAGAATCCCTGATACTATTCATTTATATATTTTAGGAGTTGTAATACGTATTACATAGGCCATTATAATTTTCATTCTTTAAAGTTGCTGCCAAAGCGCTAATTATGGTGGTATACCTTGTCCCCGCCTGTCTAAGCACACTGTTATTTTACGAATTCATGTCGAAATCACAGAAACTCGTCATGTGTTTACTGCCAAACTTCGCTCTCAAGATGGGTGTTTTGCAGATCCTTATTTACTGTCGCTCTCCACTGAACGGAGGTAAGAATAATCGTATATCAACAGCTACGCTATTTTCCAGCCCCGATGCCTTTGTCGTATATAATATCTTATTCTTTTCCTAACTTTTTTTGGAAATGATCAATTTTCGATGCAGATTCTATAAGCCCGGATATGTGGTTTTCCTTTGCATATAATACCAGTTACAAAATGGGCGTGATGAATTGTCCATGCTGTAATACATATGTACGCGTGGATCTCAATAATTTCTCCCTATCCATGTAGGCCCCTACCTACTTGCAGGGGAAGGGGGTCATTACAGAAGTGACTTGAACACGATGGTGATTCAACGATATGCCATTCCTTTTCTTCTGAAAAGTCAAGGAATATATTCTAAATTACATGTTCACGAAGAAATTGCGCACGGGAGTAGGCCCTATCTTAAGTGGTGCATTTAATACACAATAAAGTCGGGACATTCAATATTGTTCAATACTTTGATCATAGTTTTGAAAAACCAACATGTCATATTATCCCGTGTTCATTTCAAGCCTTTTCAATGATCGAAACGTATGTTCTGACATATTTAATTTCTCTTTTTATTCTTTATGTTATCTACATGCAGGCCTACGCTGGGATAATATGATGCAGCACACGACATTTGGTGACAACTTTTCCATCGGGGAGGTCTTCATTGCCTTTGTCGCGGACATTATGCTATTCATGTTGATAACATGGTATTTCAGCCAGGTTTCTCCAGGCCCAGGTGGAGTTCCGAAACCGTGGCTGTTTCCTATACAGGCAAATATCCTTGGTATTATTAATGTTAAAGTTATACAAGTAGCTCTCTTTAGGGCGATGGAAAGTGGTAAATTATTGACGTGACGCTTAGATAAGAAACTCCCATGTTATTTTCTGAACGGTTTTGGATATGGTTAATCATGGGGTTGATTAAAAAGCTGTTGAAATTTCTAGATATATGCCTTAGATATATAACGGCCTAACGCTCATTGTTTTCTGTTAATCTTTTTAGATTGTTTGTTGAACTGATCCTGTAATTTTCATACTGCCCAAGAATATTGAATACAATTCTATCGTATCGTTAACACATTCCAAAAATAACACAACTACAAAATTTTAGTGGCTTATGCGGATTGGAAAGAAGCAGAAAGTTGGTCAAGCGCCATTTTCATCAATAAAGCAGGAGGAGGGAAGTGCTACGGAAAGTTTTCAAACTGAACGCCTACCATGGATGTCGCTGTTCAGGCTGACAAAAGTATATGTTTTCATTTTCTTTTTACTTTATAAATTTTTACATGTCTATGTATAAATATGTATGTGCTTTCATTTTCTTTATACATTACAACTATTTCACTGTGACGTATTCTTAAGTGGTATGGCATGTACCATGGAGCCCAAACAAAAAGGTCTTTGAAACGTATAATGGGCGGATTTAGTGGAAGAGGGCTTATCCCTTATCCCAGTGTTTCGTTGAAATGACGGATTCATTCCCTTTGCAAAAATGGAGAAAAAATGCATCTTATTTATCCCAAATATTCTACGTATCAATCATGCATACTTGAAGTATATATATTGATGCACCTTGAAAGATCTACATTATAGTTGTTAAATACAATCCGAGTTTCGGCCCCTGGGCCTTCTTCGGGGATTATCAGAAGGCCCAGGGGCCGAAAGCTCGGATTGTATTTAACAACTATAATGTAGATCTTTCAAGGTGCATCAATATATATACTTCTATTTTTATCAAGATCTATACGGTGAATCAACATGAATCATGCATACTGCAACAATGCTCATGAAAGTGCATGTTCCTTATTACTCCATCATAAGGTTTACGGAAAGCGAAATGTTGTCAACAATGTGACCCTGGACTTGTTTGAAGGCGAGACACTGGCTCTTTTGGGTGGAAATGCTTCGGGGAAGTCGACACTTCTGCAGATGATTACAGGTAGGTGTCACACATTAAGGGATCATGACATAAAGTGTCACCTAATTTTCTTTCTGACTTTGTAGATGGGATAGGTATTGAATTATTGAGAGTACATAATTGAGGTCAGATTTTTTTTTTTTTTTTTTTTGGGGGGGGGGGCAAACTTTCTTTTGACACTGCAATTTTCATAACTTTGGGATCTCACTTGCATATCTATCTTGACGGTAGGATCTACAAATATAAGAAATAAGGTCTAATGCTGATATAACGCATACTAAAGAATACCACTTGGTTGATTTCTTTTGTCTTATTAACTGATTTTTTCAGGTTTGCTCCAGCCTACGTCTGGAAGTATTCACGTGTGCCCCGGCTCAGGACCAAAAGATATCTCAGCCATTAGGGATCGTATCGGTCTGTGCAGACAGCAGTCGGCGTTGTTTGATTTTCTCACTGTGGAACAGCATCTGGTGTTTATTGCTAAGGTGATATATTGCAAATTGGTACCCGTAAATACAAGCACACTAGAAAACGTATTACGTGTGTGGTTCAGTTATAGAATTCACAACCTATGTGCAACGTTTTACTAAGGGTGGAAGTATTCAAGATGATACAGTTTTCCTTTGCATCTAATATCCGTGATTTGCCGCGCCAGCTTTCATTACCTGTTGATCTTACCTGTTGATCTATCTCTCTCTCTCTCTCTCTCTCTCTCTCTCTCTCTCCGACACACACACACACACACACACACAGCCACACACACCCACGCACAGCTATTTAATAGTTCCTTTCTTTTTCAGTCGTTAAGGTTTTTTTCAAATTATTTTCAGCTACGTCGTATGGAAAGCCAAGACATAAAGGCACAGCTAAACCATCTTCTAGACTTGCTGAATCTAGAAAACAATCGTTATACAATAGTGACATTTCTCTCCACTGTCTCAAAAAGCGCTCTCTCTTTGGCTTTGGCGCTCATGGGAAACCCAAAGGTAGGTCTTGGGTGGAAATGACGTCGTCATATGACGTATGGCGCAATAAAATGACGTTGTCACATGACGTAAGGCATTATAAAAATTGCACAGACGTGGATGTTTTTGATCTGACATTTGAGAAACAAATGAAGATAGTGAGTATATAATGACGATTTTGCCGGCATTCCATTAGGATTTTTGAGAGTATTCATGAAGTTTTCTGATCAGTTTATAAGTCAAATAAATGGGACCTTATCTGTAATAAACCTAATATCCTGTCCAGGATTTTTTTTTTATTATTAACAAGGACGGTCACACACGTACTTCACCAAGGAGCATGTCAAAAGGTTATATTATTTCAGGTAATAGCCCTAGACGAACCGACTCAAAATATGGACCCGTGCATGCGACAACATGCATGGGAGGCCATTAACCAGTCTAAGCAAGCAGGTTCTGTGATAATTCTCAGTACACAGAGTATGCAAGAGGCGGAGGCCCTGGCTGACCGCATTGGGGTTCTGCAGAACGGATCTCTAGTGGCTTGTGGCACCATGGCAGAGTTGGAGGAAAAATATGGTAAGATGTTGTTAATGTTCACTATGACCTCAAGCGTAGAATATTAATCGGTATGTGGTTCTGTGTTTGTAAAATGAAGAACACGCATGAGATTTACAATGCAACATACAACGTGACAAACAGTATAGTGTTTACTTCATTCTATTTTATCTTATTGCCCTTTATTTCAGAAAGAACGTACGTTTTGCGCTTGGTGAAAACCAATTTTTGTCGATCTGAAACCATTAAGAGAATTATAGAAGACGGTATAGAAGGTGCACGAGTTATGCCAGAAACAGAGTCCGAAATACGAGTTACATTACCTAGATCTCAAGCGCCGAAGTTTGCAGCAGTTTTCGAGCAATTGGACGAACAAAAAGCTGCCCTTGGACTGTCTTCGTATGGAGTTAGTCTTGCAACGCTTGATGAAATATTTTTACGGTACTTGAATAATAATTACATTTGTCTGAATTAGTTCCCACCTTTGAAACCTGCCTGTAATGAACATGATTTTTAAAATTATTTATCGAGTTAGTTTCAAGTGTTCCTGTGTTTGTAAATATTGTAAATTTGTAAATATATCTTTTGTATCGAAAAATATTTGTGTGCACTCGTTGAGTCAGATTGCGTTCAGTAGATGTATATCTGTTGTGGAATTTCTTCGTAGAATTGCCAGAGAATGGGAGATGGAAAGCACCACAACTAGTACCACTTCCGTTGAATTAACACAGAGTGGATACCGGCTTCTCGCGCGTAAGTGTATGGCAAACATGATGATGATGATGATGATGATGACGTTGATTAAAATGATGATGATGATAATGATAGTGATGATAGTCGTATTCACAAAATATGACGAAATCTAGAATTTTCTCGCTGATTGCCACTCGTGGAAGAACTGTGAATGGTGCCAATCATGCGCATTTCTTAAAAAACAGAATGGACAGAAAACAAAAAATATATATACATATATACTCAGCGTACAGCAATTTATTATTTTTCTGAATTTAATTTATAATTTATCATAGGCAACTTAACCCTGGTAGCTTACGTGGATTTAAGTCAAAGGTGCCCAGCGTAAGATTTTCTCGCGAAAATCTCGTACCCTGTACTCAACGAATTTCCCCAATGGTTAATGGCGTTTGTAAGACTAACCAACATTAAATCCATCTTTCCTGACACTCGCCGTAACTCCGTAGAAAATCCTTGAGCGTGGTTTTCTAAATTCCACCATCACTTTCAGTACTCACTTCTGTATTGCGTGTCAGAGTTCGTCAAGAAGTGATGAATTGGATTATTTTGGCGAAATTAATGCAAGTGCCTTTATCTGTATAAATGTTAAAAAGTATTACTTACCTTTAGATAAGTTCAGTTAGAAGTGGTTTATGTATTTCAAGTAATATGAAAAAAAAAACGTGTTTAAAATCTTACACTCTGCCACATGAAGATATAATATCGCGCATTTCTCATTTACAACTTATTTATGCAACACAACCTTGCTCCGATTTCCCTTAACTTCCGTTCCTCATTTCTCAGGGAAGAAGCTGGTTCGGCGTAAGTTCAAAATACTTCCATTAGGTTTGGCCCACCTGCTACACGAGTTTTTCAGCATGTTCTGCGTGCATGCACTAGTCTCGTGGCGCAGACGCTGGCTCACGTGCTCCCAACTAATACTACTGGTGATCGTCGCTTTGCTGACCTCCTGCAATCCTGAAGCCTTCTCTCAATCCGCTCTGGCTGGCCATATAGCTGATAACAACATAGATCTTCCAATCACCATCCACGCAATGATTAATACACCCAAAGATCCTTTCATCGCGACAGTGGCAACTGATGACTCTCCATGGGCAAGGAACATCTCAGGGGTGTACAGAAACGTGGTGGCCACGGTGACCAAGTCTCCATCATGGAACCAAACTGTGGATCAATTCTTGCTGGACACTCAACGTAAAATCGACTCGATTCAGTTTGCAAATGAGTATATGATTGGAGTAAGCTATGAAATTGACGAAGATGGATGTAACATAAGCACTGGGCTTTACAATGGCTACGCCTATCACAGCATGCCACTAGCTCTCAACCTTGTCAACAATGCCCTGCTGAGGTACCTTGCCGGAGACGAGTACTCCATATCGGTCAACAACCACCCTTTGCCGTCGTACGATCGCCACATGGATAACGATCTCATGGATGGCGAAGATGACGTCAGTGGAAATGATTCATGGAAGTGGTGGCCCCCTATAATCAATTTGACCTACACGTGCATTTTCCTGTGTGTTATGTCAGCACTTCTTGGCTCCTTCGCCATCAGCCCGGTTGAAGAACGCACCAACGAGACCAAGCTTCTGCTGTTCGTGTCAGGCTCCACGGGTATGACGTACTGGTTGTCTAGGTGTTGCTGGGATATAACGATCTATTCGGTACCTGTCATATCGGTGATTGGCTTGGTATTAGCTGGACAGACATGGCCCTTGTACATAGCCGACAGACAACAAGAAACACTAATCATTCTGGTAGTGCTTTTCGGGTGGGCCACTTTACCATTGACCTACTTGCTGTCGTTTAAATTTGACACTGGTTTGACTGCCTCGAGGTACATCATGATAATGTTTACAACAATAGGTTGGTTCATTTCTTTTTCCATATCTTTTTTTCCACAAACGCGTGTTGGCTCCCCTTTTTGAGACCCAAATTTATTATGTGTGTAAGCACCCAATCAGTGGAAATTTATAGTTTTTATCAAATATCCCACTTATTATATGAAAGAATCATGATGCAATTACATTTTACACAGTTCTACTGAGTTTATTAAGAATGTTGCTCTCGTTAAAACTATTTCAAGTCACATACTGTTTTGCAAGCCAAGTCCAAATTTTCTACATACATTTTTCTTAAGTCAAGCATCTCATATGGACTGTCTTTGTTAAATACTCATTTCACAATTTAAAATCGTAAACATATGCGTATCCGGACATATGTCGCTTAAATAAGATTTCCTGTTTTGAAGGCGCCTATTCTATCGTCTTGAAAGTTTTGATCCTCTACATCGTTCCGTACCGACAACTACAAGTGGCGGAACTGGTGACGTCATTTTCCTACCCGGAAATAACAGATTGGATCTTCACAGTGTTGTTTCCTCCCTTCAACTTGGTCGGCGGGCTGTTGAACTTCTATATCAATGATTACAACTCTCGATACTGCCTCCATAGCAACACAACTATGAGCCAAATTCAGTGCAACCTAGGTAAGTACTGAGGGCGGATATATGGTTAATGGTTGCAAGAGTTAAAGGAATAATAACTCTTCGTTTTGGCCAAAAACTGAATTTTCCTGGAGTAAACAACATACTTACCAATGGTTAATGAATCCATATTTACATTCAAAGTTAGTCCCTGTTTTTTTTTTTTTTTTTTTTTTTTTTTTTTTTTTTTTTTTTTTTCTAAAGAGTTTGTTTTTTGTTATGTTTAATGAACATATTTAATGAAAGAACTGTTTTTTTCTAAAGAGTTCGTTTTTTGTTATGTTTAATGAACATATTTAATGAAAGAACTTTAAAATTTTGAGCTTGAATGCACGAAACTTTGATACCAAAATTTAAGGTTTTAAACAAGCAAATTTTGCACTTTACTGAGAAATAAGTAACAGCATTTTAGATTGGGTATTCTTTGTTATTTAGGCAGCTGCGTCGAGTGGAATAAAAACCAAACCGCCATTCCCTTAGAAAACAGAACTTTATACTTCTGCATGCCACATGTGAACAACACGCTGTCCTTCCAGAATCCAGGCTTCGGAAGACACGCCCTCTTTCTCTTCATCCAAGGTTTTGCCTTCCTCGTCATTTTGATCATCGTTGAAACGCATGTGCTCACCACGTGGTACAAGGTGCGTCAAACAAAAGGCTTTCGGACCTCTATCTCAAGCGAGACGTTTCAATACTCATACGGAAGCACCAGTCGCTCTAATATGACCAATACACTCAAAAGCGAACAAAGTAAAATAAAGACTGCCCAGCCCTTTGATAAGGGTCCAGTTCAAGTGTCAATACGTAAGGGTGAGTCATCTTCGCTACTCGTTCTATTCATACTCCAGTACCTTCTAATATGCTTTGTCGTTCTCTCCTTGCTCTGCATAGCGATTAAAAAATCATTTCCTTTTGCCATTGTAGTTTTAATATCTGGATTATTATATGGCACAAATTATAACCATACAAATGAGTACCAAGTTTTTTTTCAGGCGAAGCCATTGGAATACTTGGCCTTGATGACCGCGGCAAAGAAACCCTGTTCAGGATGCTCACGGGTGATGTGCTGCCATCTGACGGCACATCATTCCTGGAAGGTGTGACCTTTGACAGTTATAATGGAAAACAGGTTTGTGCAGTCCTCTGAGGACACATGCTTTCAAGTTACGTATTGAAAAACTGATTCCAAAAGATGAAAATATCAGTATGTAGTGATCCGTTAATTAGAACTGAGTCTTCTAAATTTGCATACATCAGATATATACATATCTGATGTATGCAAATTTAGAAGACTCAGTTCTAATTAACGGATCACTACACATATATCTCCCTTTTTTACCAAAAAAAATTAAGAAACTTAATTTTTTTTAAAAAACCTATTTCACTGACACCTGTTTATACACTGTAATTAATAGAATGTTAAGCTATAATACAAAGTACATGAACATCTTCTAATCAAATTTAACCAATTTTTAACAATTTAAACAATAATAAACAACTATAGCTTCACATAAGCATTTAAGGACTTTTATACATACTTTAGCTTTGCATAGACATACACACATATTTAAAAATAAAAATCTTACTGCCTTACATCTTTCACTTAAATCAGTCAATAGATAGTACACATTTCACAACATAAAAACTGGTGCATGCATTTTAAAAAAATTGGATGCAAATAAAGGAAAGTGCCACATATAAAAATTAACAGAAAATTTCATGAAAATCAATCTTAGGACAATTTAGTAGCCTTATTGAAAAAAATCCAGTGAAGTTGGTAGTATGTTTGGCCAGATTATAAACATTACGTACGACACGAAACCGCACTTCATTGACAATGTAGCTTTGCAACCTGGCGGTATGGTTGTGTAATTTGAAATGTGAAGCAGACAGGAACATAATTAGAAAAATGTCGGAAACCCGAACAAATGATTCGACAGTAATTATCTTAAGCGGGACACAAAGAGGTTTTTGCCTGTCTCTTCGCCAAATTTGCTTTAAGTACATATAATCTTTATCCGTGTATTATATGTGTAATTGTCGAAGAATGAAGAACCTTTTACGTCGCACGACAAAAACTTCTCCCAATCCAGGTCCGCCTCCATGTTGGCTACTGCCCCAAATCGTGCTCTCTGATTGGTGAACTGACGTGTCGAGAGATGCTGTGCCTGATTGGTCGGTTGCGAGGAGTCACAGAAACTGATCTGGAGCATGTGATTGATGACGTCATAGAATGTTGCCTTCTCACCAGTCAGGCCAGTGACGTCATAGATAGTTGCAGGTGGGTTGTATGGTGTGCAAATGTTTTAGGACAAGTAAAAGGGCCGTTTCATATTGGGAATTATAAACGTACAAGTATGACGTCATCTAAAATGCTTTTACGCGTAAGAATGATATACATGTACTAGTCAAATGAATATTAGTAATTTGCGTTCCTTGAAGTCATTATTGAAACAAGCTGTTTCCTTAACCACCGATCTTCGCCCCGCTGGTTTTAGACTCTTTCCCATTAGAGAGGAAGACGTCAAGTGACAAATTTTGCTCGATTTTCTTTTTAATATTGCCCTGTTTATGAACATTTCCACTTGTACTGAGAACTGTATTTTCCAGTTATATACTTCAATTATGATGCCTACAAAACATGGTGCAAAATCGTAAAATAATATATTTGTATTTATAATTAGCGGTCGAGTTGAAGAGTGTGTACACCATACGTATTCTTGGCCTTACCAGGTCGTCGTTTACGGAGACGGAATTTTCAATGCACTTTTTTTCCCTATTTTTTCTGACAGTGCTGGGACAAAGCGAAAATTAAGCACAGCAATCGCGTTGATTGGAAAACCAACCATTATATTTCTGGATGAGCCGACAACAAGTGTTGATCCATTGTGCAGGAGAAAGATATGGTCAGTTCTGCAAGAAATACGTCGACAAGGTACAACGCTGGTGCTGACCACCAGCAGGTTTGTGGATTCTCCCTTGCCCCCGATTTAGACCATTCAAGTCTTGTATACAGCTTTTAGTGACACGATAATCCCAGAGCAAAATGAGATTTGACTTTCATCATAAATCATAACTTTCTATGAGCTTTTCAACCAAGTTTCTGATAACCACTGGTACTACAAATGAGATAGCCAGTGCCCAGAAAGTAAAACGTTAGTGTTTTTATTTGTTTATTTTAAAATACATGTTTTTATATTTTAGCACTGAAGAAAGTGAAATGCAGTGCACTCGAGTGCCAATAATGATAGACCAGCGCTTTGTCACTATGGGCAGTCCACAGTCGCTTAAAAATGTGTACGGGGACGGCGTTAACATTGAAATACGTCTGACAGATGAAGAGGAGATTGATACCGAGGATCTTATTTCTTTCATAACTTCGCGACTGCCTGGTGGACACGTGACCAAAGAAAACAACTTTATTATAAATTTTAAAGTCTTAAACGAACATATCCGTTGGGGCCAACTCTTTCAAACACTTGAGGAGGCTAGGACCCGCTTTACGATGGTAGATTATAGCATCCAGCAGTGTACTTTGGAGGCCGCTTTTCTCCATTTGTCGCGTTCCTTTGTTGCACCTACAAGCGTTGACCACAGCGAAGGAACACGTAGCTTTGTGTTATAAAGTGTTTTTATGGCAGACATATAAGAGCGTCTGCATTAGAACATTCTCTAACCAGTTACCTTTGGGTATTATATTAAAAAAATGTAAGTTCCGCGTTTTGTTTTCATTAAAAGGAGCACACCTGTCAGGAGAATAGAGCCTATTTAAATATAACTATATACATGTATCTACATTCCTCTGTACTCGCACTTTAATTTGTACCATGGAAATACAGATAGGATCAATGTCAAAATGAATAAAGGAATCTAGACAGAAACGCGGGGTAAGTTGGAAATGAGAAACGCGCAAAAATAAATTCAGAACACCTGGTCGGGTCAGAAAGGTTTTGAAGTATCAAGGTGAAGAGTCAAAGATACTAGAATCTGTAACTACCCTGCGAAATAAAAATATCAAAAATTAAATATAAACTAAAAGTGAAACAACAAACTCGTCACTATTAAAAATCTATTAAAATTGTTTTTTATGAAATAAATTTCCTTTATGATAGAATAAGCTCATCCATTTTTGCTTTTCCGTTTATTGATATGAACTTAAGTCTTCTGGAATGCAATTGCGCAACTTTGAGAAACGCAAACACGCTAAGCGTTTGTGCACACTGTAAAGGTTAATTCTCTCTCTCATCTGCGAAACGAACCGATTCACAAACGCATGCCACAAGTCTGAAAATATACTTAAGTTGCGTTTTTTGTCGGCATTTTGTAAACAGCCCGTCACTTTTTAACAAGCCAAAAAGTACTTTACTCAGGAAAGTGCAAAAAGAGATGAGGCTTTTAAAAAGACACGTGCGCGTTTCCATTTCTTGTTCGGGAACGTTTTATACATAGCCTGACCCTTTCCTGATTCGAAGCTTTAAAGGATAGGAGTTCTCGAAGTAGTCAGAGACGCAGCTATCTAGGCACTGAAAGACAAAGGTAAGTAGAAACATAATCCCATGTTAAAACATAGACGCAAGTTTCAAAATACGCTTATAAACGTATGATATTTTGGTTCACAAGAGCTTAACTTGGATACATAATCGTTAATCTCATTTGACGCATGATAAATCACAAATAGTCCACTTTATTTAAAATGAGAATATAGGGCCTGCTTTTAGTATAGCAATGTTCACCCAATGTTGAGACGGGTACTTTCCTTATTTAGTTGTTGCAAAAGCAGATTCATCCCATGTTGAAATTGGCCGTTTTTTTCTTTTCCTAAGTCGAGACAAACTTTTTTCGCTCAAGATACATCGTATAACTGGGTAATGCGTGTGCACATGTTTCTGAAATCTTTCAGTCTTAACTTAGACCTTGTCACTCTGGACCGATATTTCACCATAGAACGTAAAGCTATAAATTGTTCTTAGCTTACTGTCCAGACTTGTGATGTCGTTCTTGTTATAAAACAAAAGCTTGGACAACAACTGATTTACCTTGGATCGAAGAAGACTAGAAGTTAAGACAAATTTTCGGGCTTGTATTTTCGGTTAGCATTTTCTTTTTTCTCGTATAATTAATTATAATTACAATTACAGTAGTGATAATGATAATGATAAAAATAATAAAGCGCGACGTGCAGTAACTATATATCACATTCATAAAAGGATATCATTTTAAGGAAACAGCATGGGTGCGGATGCTTCAAAGGGCTATGAGGTGTACGACGAACGTTCACCACAGGAGAAAAAAGAGGAGAAAGCGCCGCCCCATCTTCTAAAAAGTCAGATGAAGCTCGCAGCGTTACTGGAACAGAAGAATTTATGGGCGATGAAGGAGCTTGCTTTAGACATCGGCCAAAATGATATGCACGCCTTGGTAAACAGTCCGTACAACGATACCACGTTTTGTCACCTGGCGGTGAAGACGGGCTCTGTGAACATTCTTGCCTTCTTGGTGAATGTTTGTGGTGCTAACGTGTGCTGTACGGGTACTGTGTTCGTGAAAAATGAACGGGGTGGAATCGTCGCCGTGGAAAACGCGACACCATTATGGCTGGCGTGCCAAATGGGGAACGTAAGCCTGGTCAAAGCTCTGGTGTGGTTGGGGGCCGGCAAGACAAGCCACGTGAAGACAACTGTTGGTTCTTCGGCGTTTCAAATGGCGTGCTATGCTGGGAGTCTGGATATTGTTCAGTTTTTATTGGAGAACACAACGCCTGTTGTGGACTACAACTGTCTTCTGGCTGCTCTCGCTTGGAACGATAAAAACCATTTCGAGGTCGCTAGATACCTGATCAAAGAAAAATGGTACAGTGATGTCAATGAAAAGGACGCAGATGGCATGACACTCCTCGCATGGTGCGCGCGCAGCGGAAACGTGAACGGCGTTCGTCTGCTTATCAAGTATGACGCCAAATTCACGACCGACCACAAGGGTGCCACGCCCCTCATGATCGCCGCGGCTCATGGTCACTTGACAACAGTTAAAGCTTTGTTGGAATATGGGGATAAAGCGAATGCTAAGGACAACGACGGACACGACGCCGTCTACTGGGCAAGCAGGAATGGTCATACGGACATAGCCAAACTTTTGTTGGACGCTAGATTTCGCAAACATTGCGGCAGATCCAAAGGACGTCCAAGACCGGCGTCTATTTTTATGGAAATTGATGACTGACTGGGTATTTTTTATGCAAAGGGACTTGGTTGGTCGCGACTTCAGTTGTAATAGATAGCAGAGTTGAAGTTCTTATAAATCATAAAGATTCTATCATATCAAACGCTGTACTGTTTTTAAGCCGAAAGCACAAAATTACAGAATGGTATGCAAAAAGGGTAGGCCTATCTTTAATCAAACGGCGGTTTAGATTTTGAAAGAAACTATAATGTAAATTACGTTGAAATCTCTTAAGAAATAAAATTGCTAGTTTCTTCTGCTAAGGTACCTCTGAATGTAATAGAGTTTTAGGGTACTATTGTACAAATATCGAAATATCAAATGTCTGGTACTGTTGCCAAATATCTCAGCTCAGACATGCAGTATGCAAAATGTGAGCTTTACAGAAGCGCTGAACCAGATTTTACAAAATGAATAGCAGTTTGTGAGAAAACAGATGGATGCTATTTAAAATTAGCAATCAATCTTGTTAAAAACAATTTTACAATCTGGTTAGGTACGACGAAAATGCGAATTTTTTCATGCCTTTACAGCGTACGACTTCGTGAACTATAACTTATTTCATTAAGCACACATCTGGAAATCTTATCAACATTTATCACTTTTAAATTAATTACTTTGGCAAAAGTACAAAAACACCCCTTTAATCGACAATATTTCGCTTGCGGAGGAAAAGTGTATGACCTGAGAGGTCTAGATCTACATACCTCCTTTGAACACCGAGAGCTCAAACGGTAAATCAAAACACTGACGTTTCGGCTATTTTACTTATCATACGTCATACGGTACGTTAATTGGATTACTGTAATTTTATATGAAGGCATAGTACATAAACTCTCACGAAAACTCTCAATGACGTACGCGAGTCTGCTTCGGGTTTCGTTAGTACAACACGGCAGGCCGTGTAACAGTCTTCTCACCATTCGAACCACTCAGGTCAGGGTTTACGTGATGTTAGTGGATCAAAATCTAGGACGGGGCTTACCTGCACGAGTCAAGGGGAACCGCACCCTGTTTCACTGAGGACTTTCTGGTACATTACACTGCCCGTAGTAACATGTATCCCTAGTTTTTGGGGTAACTGGAAACATACCTCTCTTTGTCATCAAACAGAAAATAAAGCAAAAGAGAAAACAACCTTTTTCCCAGTAATTGTAGAGTAAATTATATTTATTAATGAATTTTGCTCTTCTAAGCATTAAAAATGTTGACTGGATACGAAACTCCAGGTAAATCTCAGCCATTTGTTAACATACCATGACTTGTCTAAAAAGTGAGTATTTCAATGAAAGGACGGATTATCAACAATACAGCAGTAAATAACATAGTCACCTCTTCAGATATGCAAATGTGGTAACTTCTTCATTTACCTTCGTGGCCATGTTAAAATTCTAAATGATATAATATCACGTAGGACAACAAGCTAATTCCATAAAGGAGCATTTTGATTAGAAGTGAAATTGCATTTACAAGACTAGAGTGAATTGTTCTCAATGGGTATACAGTATGTATTGCTTATGATGAGGATATCTTTGGTTTGTTGTTAAGCTAGTGCATTGTTAAATAACTAACGGTACCGGACTAGTTTATAAGCCAAATGACCAAAGTACTACCATTGCTTATGTGTGAAATGTTAATCCTACTATAAAGAGAGACACTTAAGTACAGCCATAAAACAAACCTCAAACTATACAGACATATTCCTTCATGTAAAGAGTGCATCTATGAAAATATCTGCATTTTGTATAACTTTGAACACTATAAATAAAAGAAATGAGCCTTGCAATAATATGTACTATATCACAGATGAGGAGATAGCAATGTTCAGTTTCATACAAGAAAAAAAAAGCAGAACATCTAATATTTGAAGTTTGCTCCAAGTCAAGTCAACCTCTTAGTTAGGTCAACTAATAAAGTGAGCGCAGGAACATNTATAATGTAAATTACGTTGAAATCTCTTAAGAAATAAAATTGCTAGTTTCTTCTGCTAAGGTACCTCTGAATGTAATAGAGTTTTAGGGTACTATTGTACAAATATCGAAATATCAAATGTCTGGTACTGTTGCCAAATATCTCAGCTCAGACATGCAGTATGCAAAATGTGAGCTTTACAGAAGCGCTGAACCAGATTTTACAAAATGAATAGCAGTTTGTGAGAAAACAGATGGATGCTATTTAAAATTAGCAATCAATCTTGTAAAAACAATTTTACAATCTGGTTAGGTACGACGAAAATGCGAATTTTTTCATGCCTTTACAGCGTACGACTTCGTGAACTATAACTTATTTCATTAAGCACACATCTGGAAATCTTATCAACATTTATCACTTTTAAATTAATTACTTTGGCAAAAGTACAAAAACACCCCTTTAATCGACAATATTTCGCTTGCGGAGGAAAAGTGTATGACCTGAGAGGTCTAGATCTACATACCTCCTTTGAACACCGAGAGCTCAAACGGTAAATCAAAACACTGACGTTTCGGCTATTTTACTTATCATACGTCATACGGTACGTTAATTGGATTACTGTAATTTTATATGAAGGCATAGTACATAAACTCTCACGAAAACTCTCAATGACGTACGCGAGTCTGCTTCGGGTTTCGTTAGTACAACACGGCAGGCCGTGTAACAGTCTTCTCACCATTCGAACCACTCAGGTCAGGGTTTACGTGATGTTAGTGGATCAAAATCTAGGACGGGGCTTACCTGCACGAGTCAAGGGGAACCGCACCCTGTTTCACTGAGGACTTTCTGGTACATTACACTGCCCGTAGTAACATGTATCCCTAGTTTTTGGGGTAACTGGAAACATACCTCTCTTTGTCATCAAACAGAAAATAAAGCAAAAGAGAAAACAACCTTTTTCCCAGTAATTGTAGAGTAAATTATATTTATTAATGAATTTTGCTCTTCTAAGCATTAAAAATGTTGACTGGATACGAAACTCCAGGTAAATCTCAGCCATTTGTTAACATACCATGACTTGTCTAAAAAGTGAGTATTTCAATGAAAGGACGGATTATCAACAATACAGCAGTAAATAACATAGTCACCTCTTCAGATATGCAAATGTGGTAACTTCTTCATTTACCTTCGTGGCCATGTTAAAATTCTAAATGATATAATATCACGTAGGACAACAAGCTAATTCCATAAAGGAGCATTTTGATTAGAAGTGAAATTGCATTTACAAGACTAGAGTGAATTGTTCTCAATGGGTATACAGTATGTATTGCTTATGATGAGGATATCTTTGGTTTGTTGTTAAGCTAGTGCATTGTTAAATAACTAACGGTACCGGACTAGTTTATAAGCCAAATGACCAAAGTACTACCATTGCTTATGTGTGAAATGTTAATCCTACTATAAAGAGAGACACTTACGTACAGCCATAAAACAAACCTCAAACTATACAGACATATTCCTTCATGTAAAGAGTGCATCTATGAAAATATCTGCATTTTGTATAACTTTGAACACTATAAATAAAAGAAATGAGCCTTGCAATAATATGTACTATATCACAGATGAGGAGATAGCAACGTTCAGTTTCATACAAGAAAAAAAAAGCAGAACATCTAATATTTGAAGTTTGCTCCCAGTCAAGTCAACCTCTTAGTTAGGTCAACTAATAAAGTGAGCGCAGGAACATGAAAATTTGTAATGTGAAGAATGAAATTTAAATTTCTTCATATCAACTATGAATCAATTAAATATGAACAATATAATTGTTGATATCAGCATGCAGTTAGCACTTGATAATATGGAGGGATCTTCTCACAACCAAAACGTGTATAAAATTTGTATATCCAGTGCCCCATGCACTTTCTTTAACATATGGCGACATGGCCTTTAATGACACTTCTACATTTCTATACTTAAAATGGGAACATTCTTGTAAAATTGGTCACAAAAAAATGGCAATATGTAAGAACCTTTTACATATGAAATCATAAATATATTTAAAAAACAATAACAACAGAATAATTGTGCTATGAAGTACTTCTGATACAAGATTAAAAACTGCAGTGAATACTGTTCAAAATATCAACATTATGAGTTATTCTGTGTTGATACATGCGTGACCTTAAATTGGTCTTAAAGTTGACCTTGTGTTGACCTTCCATTGACCTTGTATAAGTATTGTATTGACAAAATAAAAATTTTTCAATTTGCCAAAACTCAAAATTCAAGAGAAGAAAGACTAGAGTCAAAATTATGCTGCCAGGTAAAAACCAAGACCTGAATTCTGTGAAAAAATGCTATCATACGAAATAGTTTCTTCTGAGTGTGGCCATGTAATCGCTGGTGGACTTGCCAAAAGAGGAGTTGATCATGCTGTCATCTGGTGGCAGGACGGGGCTGGAGCTGGCACCAGCTGAAATAGGAAGGTTTATTTATGAAAAAATAATAGTAAAACTGGAGTGGATTCTGGCACAGAAAAACTGGTCATAAGTTAATGACACGGACCATCACCAAGTTGTCAGAAACATTTGGTAGACATTTTTTTTTTTAATATCTATGCAAAAAGGCACTGTGAGCTTTAATTTTTTGTGCATTTGGTGCACATTTACACAGAACAAACAAACTCCTTAAATTCTATTGTTCTACATGTGGACACCAAGTTTCAAAACAAACATAAAAAAGCTTTTACTTAGTAATTTCAAATTGATTTACAGTCACACCATCACAGATACTGCAGAACCCAGTGTGCTTACCAGACTCCAAATGTTTGGCAATGCTTTTGTCCAGTTGGTTTTTGATCTTGTAACTGAGAGAGTCATTGACCCCGTGTACAGGGGTTGTCTTCACACCACCCAGGGGGGAGACCCACTGGTTGTCCTTGCGTGCCAAGGGGGGACTGGCACCCAGCAGCAAGGTCTTCTGACGCTCAAGACTGAAATTTAGTGAAGTGTAATATATGATTAAATATAGCACATAAGAAAAAAGCATAATGCATAGGAGAAAATAAGCAATTTGAAACTTTTACTGAGAAAATGCCAAAGCAAAGTTCTTCTGTATTATTTATAGTAAAGCAACTGTCTCTGGTCATATTTATGTTTCAGTAAATCTTTATCACAGCACACTGAAACAATCTACCTAGCATTATATCTAAGATTTTTTTTGCAAAAAATAACCATGGCTTGTGTTTTTGCTCATATATATCCATGTTCATCTTCATCTTTCATCACATTAAATCAAGAAAACAAAAGAGGGAGACTAAGCTGCAATTTATGTTGCTGTGTGAACAAGCACTCATGCAGATGCAGGCAAACTTACGAAAGCTGCGCCTTGGTATTAGCAGCAGTATCCGTGGCTTTCTGCAACCTGGTGGCCACTCTCTCTCGAAGCCGTACTTCATTTTCATACAACTCCTTATACTTCTGCAGCTCCAAGTCCTTGGTCTCCTTCTGGGCCATGGTCTGGTGGTAGCCTGCCCGCAGCTTGGACAACTCATCCTTCAAATAGAAAAAGATGATTTTTTTTTCATTTTATAAATACTTTATTCACTTTTTGTCTGTTTTCTATGGGAGGTTCCTTATTACGTGAAACATATATTACAAAGAATATTATTCTCACGATTTTCAAAAAAAAAAAAAAAAAAAAAAAAAAAAATTTCAATTGAAAGAAAACTTTGCTGGTCCAAGATTTTTTCTCTGGGAAACCATGGGGCTTCTCTTTGCACGTCTGCATGCAAAATCAGCTTTTTGAGCATGGTTGAAAGGGAGGAGGCATGCCCTCTGTGACCACCCCCTTCACCCTGTGAGACTACACATCCACTGTTTATATATTAAAATACTTTAACACTGAATACTACTTAATGAATACCACCCCTTATCATTATTTACAAATATAAATCAATATCCAACATTTGCCACAACTACACAAATCAAACCCAAACATACCATGAGTTCTTTCTTGGTTTTCTCATACTCGTTCCTAATCTGGGACTCGTTGTTATTCCTCATGGTGTCCAGCCTCTCTCTGGCGCGCGCCTGGTCCTCCAGGTAACTGTTCACCTCCTCCAGCTTGGTGTTCAGCTCCTGGCGCAGCTTCATCTCGTTGTCCTGCTGTGCACGCTGCAGCTCACCGCGGTCCACGTAGTGCTGGTTCACATGGTTCTGTAATGGCCAGGGTATAAATAAGTTAATAATGTAAACTTGGAACATGTATGGCATATAATACCATGTGTATGGTCTTGCATATGTGAAAAACTTGAACTTATAATATAATGCTGCCTCGTGGTTATATGGTTCAATCCAATTTGTTTACATGGCGGTTGCTAAGTACATGGTTCTGCTATATAAGGACAACAGTCAGATATGTTCAATAACATTAGTACTGCCTACATACATATAAGTGAACCTGTATGCTGCATACAGTGTACAAATACAATATATTGTAGATGGGCACAAGTGTAATTACATACATCATGAACCCTGGATGATATCCTTACAAAATAATAATACAATATATTTGACAATGTCATGCAATAGAGGCAGCATACTTAATTCTAAGGGGTGTTTGATGATTGGCTTTAAACTAAGGAACTTTCTTTCAATACAACTGACTGGATAAAGCTACAACTATTAAATCACTGTTAGCGTAATTAAGCAGAAAGTAGGGCCAATTTATCTGTCAAAATTGCATTACAAGGAAAAAATTAATGATACTGATAATTGTTTTCAATCAACAAACACTCAAATGATTAGATAGTTTGAAAAGAAGATGAAGCTGGTTATAAGCTACTAAAAGAATGAAAACTGTAGAAAAATTGTCAGCATGAAAGGGAAAATAGGCAATATAATCATTAATAATCATTAGTAATATAATCAAATATACAAAAACATGCAAGAATTTGAACAGAACAGTTGGAGAAAAAACACAACGAAAGAAGACACATGCTGGCATAGAAGACTGCACATTCAACAAACACATGCTGGTTATATTAGCCACTGCTAATACCTATCAAGGAAAAGAAAATCAAGTTAGATGAAAATCAAGAAGAGATAGATGAAGATACTCATGCACTGACTCTAGCTCTAGACACAGCAGTAACGTCAGCGGTAGCAGTATTTCTGGTATCGTCTGCTACCTTGTATGAATTAAAGTCTGTCTCCATCTTATGCTTGGTGCGCTCGAGCTTGGCAAAACTTTTTTCCAGGGTTTTCAGGGCATTGAGCTCCTGCTGAAGCTGCCTGGTTTTTGCCTCATATCTATCTTTTTGCTCTATTTCTTCATTTAATTGACTCTGGAGCTCATCCAACTGGAAACAAGGGGTGACTTTGGAATTAGGGACAACAGAATATCAGCATTAAGTCTAGTATTGCCCATTTTGCTTATTTTCATGGTACCTTTTATTTTCATTTTTATTTATTTTTCTTTGACTACCATAGAACAACAAAATGGAAATTAAATCTACTCTGTCTATAACTCCATAGACACAGTGCCACTAATTTGAAACTGTTTTTTTTAATTCTTTGAATATTAAAGGAAAAATGAAAATTAAATCTACTACTGCCCTGTAAAAATATACCAGCCTGTGTTGTCAATTATTTGAGTATTTTTACCTACATTTTCACTCTCAAAGAACAATGAGATGAAGACTGGATCTACTCAGTCTGAAGGCCTGTGAATATATTACAGCTTGATCCCAAAGAATGTGGACACTGTGCCAGCGTACAAATACACACCACTTAAAAATGTGTATGAATATGTGCTAACAAATAATTATCCCATCATGAGCTCTTGAAAAACACGTTACCAGTAAAAAAAATAAGCCAAGGATTTGCATACAAAAACTGTGTATACATGTATCATCAGATCAGAGAAATAATGCACAATACATAAATAAATAAATTTGGGGAAAAAATCTCACTACTGCAAACAACTTTAACACATATTAAAGTACATATATATTCCAATCTAAATACCTGTCTCCTCAAAGTCTGCATGGTGCCCTCCATGGCCAGGCGCTCACGATCAAACTCTGAGTGCAGAGATGAAATACGAGATTCACTTCCCTCAAGATCCTATTAAAAAACATGCAATTCAAATGATATGCATCATGAAGTGATGAGATAAACAACATGGATAACTCACTGACAACAGAAACAAAATGAATGACAAAAGAAGCTTAGGAAAATGGAAAGAAAATATATTGGTAGGCCTCAAAGAAAAGATATAGAAAGCCTAAACAGCCTAAATCTGATTGACTGTGGATAGAGAAGGATGGAGAATGCTATACATGCCTGTGCCAGTTAAAAAGCCACTTGATGATGATGTGTTATACATTTAAGAATATTATCAAATGGAGAAGCATTACCATATATGAAGCATGAACACATGAATATAAATACTTAAATGATTGTAAATTGTTAACTTTATTATTAAAGTTTGGGTAACTGCCTGACGTAATCTTCTATATGAGTAAACTTAATGATTCAAAACAAACATTCCAAGCAGGGATTATAAGATATTTTTTTATTATTTTTTTACCTTTAATCTCTTCTTGGCTGTCTTTAAGTGAGTTTTTAAGTTAGCCACCTCCTTTTCTAAATTCAATCGCCTGAAATGACAAAAAGCAATGACTGCAAAGCAAATATGAAAATGACAATAATTCTTAAGGTTAAAATAAATTAACATCCATGCCATATAAATCAAATGAATTATATTCAAATGAATTGCGAAAAGGGCCAAGTTCATAGAAAAATTTTTCTAAAGGTGGGTGGGGGTGGGGTGGGGGGAATACAAAGGCAAAAATATCCAGACCTTTCACTTTCAGAATCTAGCTTTGTCTCAGCAACTTTCTTCATCTCAACAGCTTTTCTGGCTTTTCTTTTCTCCTAAAATAGAATACAAGAGTAGAAAATACCAGGGGTTTGTACAGGTTATCACGAATTCATAATTACACAAGTCATGAATCACAATTATGAAAACAAAGCATCATGCTGTGGCTGCAGCAGCAATTTAACAGTGTTTTACATTTTTTCTAAAAAAAATAATAACGACCTTTTGCTCCACTTAAAAAAGATACTGCTAATATTATCCTTCAACATGTTTATACACTTAATCTCTTAACAATGCCAAAAATAAAAAACATTGAATAAATAAATTAAATAAAACAAAATAAGAGCAAAAAAGAAAGAAAAAGTTATTTTTAAAAAACTTTTTCCTCATGATAATGACTTTAAAAAAATATTTGTGCTGTGTTGGTGGGGTGGGGAAGAGGGCAAACACTCACCTCATCAACTACAGCCTGAGCCTCTTGTTTGGCCCTCTCTAACTGAGCAAGCTGAATAAAATTAAAATATATGTGTAACAACAGTAGATCTAAGTACAGTAATGATACACATATGAAGGTGGATAGTAAAAAGAGACATTTACAAATATGCCAAGTATAATATCATTCCAATGCTGAATTATATTTTGAGGGTGTTCAGAAAAAAGACTAAGCAATTCAGTAGAAGAAAAATACACAATTTAAAATTTGCCTTACATCACATTTCAAACACAATTCTGAGCACTGATATTAATATAAATGACAAGACAAAAATCACAGGTAAACAGCAACTTTACAACAGATGGCTTCACCTAAGGGACAAGATAGAGATATAGACCTCCAACCGTAAAAGATCTAGATCTAAAATCAATGATCTGGCTGGAGATCTAGACCACTGCTCCAACATACCCTCAATCCCAGCTTTGACCTTGACTTGACCTCCGACTCCCACATGTCTCTGGAATCCTCTGCCTCTCTGGCAAGAATACTACGAGATGCTGCCTCTTGCTGTAACATTCACAAACACATAGTACGTGAAACAATCTTTACACACAAAATCCATACATTTTTCTCTAAAAAATACATAATATACCATGTAAAGGTATTTGATAATTAAACAAAATAATTAATCAAAACAAGCTGGTTTTATTGTACTGCATTTATACTTACAGTGACTTTTTCTTCCAATTGAGCATTTGTTGTTTTGAGGTTAGATAAAAGGGCTTCCATACTATGACGAACCTAAAAGTAAAGGATCGATATAAATTAAATGTACTCAGAAAAAAAATGTATTTCTTTTAATTCTCTGAAAAAGGGTTAACTTTTATACATAAATCAGGAATGCAACCTGTTCAAAATTGTTTCATTTTACCAATACAATAGCATTTCACTTTACTGTATAATTAAAGAAATTTTATGTATTATAAGTATATATAAGACAAAGATCTTAGAGCAGTGCTGAAATAAATGAGAAATATGGGTTTTAAAGAACTCTTATTTATCATTATCATCAACCATCAAAACTCCACAAAATCTGTACCCTGTTAGAATCCTCCATTTCCCTTTGTAAAGTTTCCACTTTCTGTGTCTCTGTGGTGAGAGAGGCTTCCAGGCGAGCTTTCTCTAGTTCCAGTCTGTGGACAGCATCTTCTAGGTCGTCCTGCAAACAACACACAGATTTATCAAACCCCATATACAGAGATATTCATAGGTCACAGAAATATGCTAAAATTTGGCAATCTAACAACAGAAAAAATGTTTTGTATTTCAGTCCCTTGATGCTGCTAAAGCAATACTCTGAGCTTCAGAATTAAGAAATGGGGACATTTATATGAAATTTGATTTTATTAAATAGAACTAGGCAACATCATGTGCTCGTAAACAAGGCATGTCCAATGTGTAATTCAGAAACATACAATGAAGAAAAATATATGCCAGAAAGCTTATAAAATATTTTGGCTGATCAATTTAAATTTAAAATAATAATAATAATAATAATAATAATAATAATAATAATAATAATAATAATAATAATAATAACAATGTATGATGCAATACTTGTGCATAAAATACCATAGTATTTTTCATGCATGTCAAAAACTCACCCATGCATCAAATAAATATTCAACCATATTCCTAAATCTCGGAACTTCTCATAAACACATTGAGATATATACATAATTGTGATCAGGGACAAACATTCTGTTATGAGCTAACATACCATTCACCAAGGGTGGTAAGGTTGCAATTCAATTTGCTACCATTTTACAGAGATAACTAATTTACCAAGCAAGCACATTACACCTGATGGGAAAGTAGAACTGTTGATAGAAACCAAAGCAGGTACCTGGTACTTTAACTGAAACATGCCATGCTACTTTAACTATTTCATACTCATTGTACATAATAATAATAATAATAATAATAATAATAATAATAATAATACCATACCCCACGCAATACTGGTAGCTTATATATGTCTAACAAGCTGTGACATGAATAATAAACATTTCATATACCGTGCACTGTGGGAAATAACTTCCAAGCAATGTGTGAAAAATCCCCTCATTCATGCAGTATCTCCAGGCTGCAGAGGGCACATATTCTCAAAGGTTTGTAACTTACAACAATTTGTATACACTCCACCAATTTGAGTTCACTTGAAAAATTGGACTCCCAATGCAAGTCTCAAAATGTTGTAAGTCATAAACCTCCAAGAATCAGCACTAGGCCAATAAAAATATTATAATATGTCTCTCAACCCATGATAATTGAACCCCATGTCCCCATACCTGATATCTGTGTCCAGTGTGAGAGATGAGCTGAGAGTTAAAGCACTGCCATTAATAGTTTGCTTGTTTTATATTTAATAAGCTCATGCAGTTGACAATTCTCTATGGATATTTTACAGTCATGTACCTTATTTCAGAAAATTATAAATTACTTATTACATACTTTAACTATTATGCCAATTAAACACTTCACTGGACTGGCTGATGAAACATACAGAAAATGACACAGTACTTTAATGACACTGATAACAATACTAAATTTATTGTATGTCAGACAATCATATGTGAATACAACATTTTGGGGGGACGGATTTTACCTACTTCCTTAATTCATCAGAAATCTTACCTTTGTTCTATTGACAGCCTCAGCATTGGCAGAAGTGTTTGCCAGCTGCTGGGTGGTCAGCATGGAACTCTGCTCTACTTGTTCCAGCCTGTCTGTCAGCTCTGAAATCTTTGCTTTAGACTCAGCCTCTTTCTCCTGGCTGCTCTCAAGGCGGTGACGCAGCTTTTCAATCTCCAAACCCAGGCGAGTTTTCTCTGCTTCAGCATGCTCCTTGATCTAGAGGAAAATTTACAGCAAGATTGTTTTTTATTTCATTCATCAAATATTTAAGATAAAAAACATATATTACTGAGGTTTGTACAATACTTAAAATGTATAAAATCCCACTTATTTTTTTTCTCTGACACAGAAGAACAAATAATAGCAAAAAGGATGAATTCTGAAAACTCCGTATAAAAATTGCAAAAGTATGGTCAACTTTCTGCACAGTTTACACCAGTCCTCAACATCAACAATGGCCTCATGCCAAATGTTGGTAAAACTGTAGCTGGCCAGTAAAATTCTGTCAATTTGTTTAATTATTGGCCACTGCTTGGGCTTAAAGTCAAAAGATTCTTAGACCTAGGTGGCCTGCAGGCTCAGTTGGCTTATTAAGTTTTTGGCACAGACTGCCTCTGACCACCAGTCTCTTCAATACTGTGCCTATCACAGTAAACAAGACATTCCCTTTCTCTCTGCTTTAAATCTCTCACCTTCACAGTGACCTCTAAGTTGGCCTCAGTGGTGGTCAATTTCTTGGATGTCTCGGTCATTTCCTGCTGCAAGTGCCTCATTTCCTGCTCCAGCAGAATCCTGCGACTGTCCGAGGCTCGTACCTCTTCCCGCAGACGGCTGACTGTTTCATTGAGGGAACTGTTCTTCTCCTCAAGGGCACCTCTTGACTGGAGAGGAAGTAAAGACAACTGGTAAAAAGCAGGAAAAAACTTGAAACTCTGAGATGAGATAAGATGAGATGACAATTGTATGTACTTCCCATCTTAAATGAAAATGAAAGCTACAATAACTACTTAATAATATGTAAAATTATAATAAATTAAATGCCAATTTTGTTCAGCATGCTTGTTTTATTTTATACAGCTCTCATCCTTTCTCTCTCTCGCTCTTTCTCACACCCACCAATCTCCCACCTTTATTGAAGAAACGTTTAAAAAATATAGTGCAATTGAGTCTTTGAAAATACTTTTGTGGCCCTTAGACCAGTCTTTCCTTCAGGGTTAGCCCCCTGTGTTACCTTATCATGGTCATTCCTGAGAGAAGACAACATGAAGGAGAACTTGTCCTGTGTATCCAGGGCTGCTCTTTCTTTAATGGAGTCCTTGCTCCTGGCATCATCAAACTGTTGCCTTAATGTCTGCATCTCATGTTGCAGGCCAGTCACCCTGGAATACAATGGAAAATAAACTAGTATTACACTAATAATTGTTCCTGGCTGCTGGGCAATTTCCTTAAGTATTACTAATTAAAATTGCCTTCTGTCTTGTAGATTGATCTCTCTAAAATAAGGAAACACTGAATGACAATGATTCCCTGTTATTATCACGTTTCTAATGTTTTTGAAAGAGGATGAACATAACATTCTTTGCACTGGTATTGCTACCATTCCATTTTTGTCTTAGACTGGGTGTGTGACACATACTCTAGTAGAAGGATAAAAATCATGTATTCTATTGACATGACTATTTTCTTCATAATGATTCTTTTTATCACACACAGCAAGTCAGCTGTTACTGTACCCATCAAATACACAAAAGCTGTACAAAGTACAGACATTATACACTACAATCCTGAGTGAAGACAAACAGCACAATTTCATGCATCAATAATAATAATAATAATAATAAGAAGAAGAAGAAGAACCCAATGATCTCCCTCAGCTTACCTCTCCTGGGCAGCCTCCAGTTTGGCCTGTACTTTGGCATTAAGCTCCTTCTCCTTCCTGATCTGCTGGTCCAGGTGCTCATAGGCTGTCTTCTTCTGGTCCAGATCTCTCTGGAGGCTGGCAATTTGATTGCTCCTCTCCAGCAGAGAGGTATTGGCAGCTCTGAGCTGAAATTGGAACCAAAATAATGTAAAACTGATTTCTGCAGCAACTATGGGCCATTTCCTTGTATTTTTCTTCTTTCTTTACATATTACTACCTCAATAAATTTAAAAATATTGTTACAAAGTGAGTTCTTTGTATATTTATTAAATTGTGACTGAAAAATAAACCATTTGTTGAGAAAAGGTGTGTGAAGTTTGTCAGCTAGAAAAACTTACTTCACTTTCAATGGCAGTGTATTTGGCTTCTGCAGCACCATAGCGTTGTGAAAGACTCTGAAAGCAGACATTCATGTGCAACTTTCATTGTATATTTGCCATTACTGCTAACTAAATTTCAAACTCATTTTTTCTCTTCATAATAGAATGTTTCACAAACAGTGCTTAGCTGTAGTAGAAGGACAGGTCTTTAAAATTCAAGTGTGAAAAGTAATCTTTAAAATATGGCTCATGCTTAACAATGTATCTTACTTGATTTGATTCTTTAAAACTCTGTACTTCTGCTTCTTTCTTTTCTATTGTCTTGTCCCAGTCTTCCTTGTCTTTCTGATATGACCTGAGTAAAAAAATGAATCATTTAACATCAAACACATTAAGTAACCATTTACAATAAGTTGCTTAAAAAACCCAAATATTACTTTTCTCTTTCAATAAAACTTTTTTTACCAGTATCAAGTAGTTAACTAACTTTTCCAGTTCATTCCTGGCCAGTCTTGTTTTCTCTAGCTCCAAGTTGGCAGCAGTCAACAGGCTCTTCATGGACTCCAGCTGAAAGACGACATATTTTTTATATAATAAATATACTAATAGCCATCTTAGCATCCCCCCCTTTCATGGAGAGTGATGTAGTGTAATGTTGTTTTTAACAGACTGACAAAAAGTAATTAAATGTGATGAAAGTATAGTGAGGCCACCTTTAACACATGCATAGTATAACTAATTTAATACTAACAAAACCAATCATAACATATTTCTTCAAAACTCATCCTGCTCACACATCTACGTACGTGAAACTATTTTGATAAGACATAAGATCTGAATTAAAATATATTATTTATATATTCATGTGCATGCACGCATGCACACACACACACCTCTGTCTCCAGTTTTTCTCTGCTGGACTTCTCTTTCTCTAAGTTGGAAGACAAAAGTGACATTTCAGCCTTGCAGTGGCCTATCTGTACATTGTATTGCATAGAGGCATGGGTCAGTGCTTCTTCATTTAGTTTCTGAAATAGATCTTGATCTTGATGATAAAAGTCCTGCATGTATAAAATTATTCCCTGTCTACCTTTTTGTCTCATTATTATTATTAGTATTATTATTATTATTATTATTATTATTATTATTGCTGAGGTTCATTTTATACAGCATGAAACAAAATAACCACAAACAAACACACCACTTCATTTTTTGCTTCATCCACTTTCTGCTGGAGTTCCTCATTCTCTGTGGTGAGAAGAGTTTGCTCATCTCGGTACTTCTTCTTCAGCATGTCCAGCTCCAGGGTGACTCTGTACAGCTCTGTCTTCAGCTTCTCGATATTCTCCAGTGCCTGCCGTCTGCCCTCGTCTGCTGTCTCAAACTTACTCACAACCTCCGCCTTCAAAAGAAGACAGGAAAATTTCCAGATTGAGAAAGTTTACACATATTTACTTTGGCTCTTTCATTGGCTCTTATGTTTTGTGAATATAATATTCCAATGTCGAAGGTAATTAACAATCAAATGAAAATGAAATTTGCTCACAACCTAAGCTTTTAAAATAGAAAAAAATCCTGATAATCTACAAATTTGAAACAGTAATTCAAAATCTAATGAAGAATCTGTATTTCAGATTAATTATTCACACTAACGAATAACCAAATCAAATGAAAATGAAAGGAAAACACTTCAATTTTAAAGATAACAATAAATAAATTAAGGGAGCTGTAAAAAAAATTAATGATGAAAATCAAAATAATTTATGCTCCACATAAAATAAATAATTCACAAATGATCAAGAGAAAACTTCAACAATCTGAATAACATACAGCTAATAAACACACAAAGCTATCATGAATAAAATGAAATACACAACACTGGCAATGCAATAATTATTTTGCAAAAACAAAGGGGTTATACTAGCACATCACAATCTACATACCAGCTCTTGCTCCTACATGGTGGCCAAGCAAGCAACAAGGCAAAGGAAAGAGACACAGAGAGTAAGAGAGAATTAGTATATTTGCTTTTACAATACACATACATATATCATATTTAAAAATCTATATGTTGTAAATTTAGAGCACATACATGCACACATACAAGGCAGCATTCTATGAAATGGCATGTTCTATGCAAGCAGTTTTCACTTGGTTTGAAGTGTTAGGTACAAAAACATGACATAAGGCATTCCACATACACAGTCAGTGGTGCAGGGACAGTGCGTGATAAATGTGTCAATTGTTTTTAACAATTAGTAACAGTGCTCTTCAAAAACTTCCAGTGCTTTAGTTGTCCTTTTATAAAGGCATGTGAAGCAGTTAGCATTGTTTGTAATAAATTTTAAGATTAAATTTTTTAAAACTTAATTACAAAGGAAAAAGCAGTGCAAGCACACGTACAGTCCAGCATACCTCTATGTACTGGAAAAAATAATAAATTAAATGTAGGACAAGACAGTAGAAGCAACATGCAATAGAAAATCACAGAAAATTAAGGGACAAAAATTAAGTAGTTTTTGTGGTCAAAGTAATAGTGTTACACTAAACTAACAAGTTTTTTTTAGCCATTAATAGTTCATGCCATGTATTTTAAACACAGAAACAGGATTGAACTATTTTGACAGAAAATCAGGTTTCAAGCCTAAAAATTAGGGGAATTAAATTAAGAAAAAAGACGTAAAAAAACTAAAAACATTTTATCTCTCTAGAGAGGCCACCAAAATGTTTTCCAATTTCATGCTTCATCCATATTAAGGTTTTTAAATTCCGTTAAAAATATTATTACCTTCTGTGTAGTGGACTTGGATGTCTCCTCCTGCATGGCCTGCTGTAGCCTACTCTGTTCCTCACTTAACTGTTCTGCCATAGCACGGGCGTTCTTCTCCTGCTTCAACTGTCGCTGCAGCTCATCCCGCTCTTCTTCAAGCTGAAATATGCAATGAAATATCTTCATAAATTCTAAAATATGTATTTTTCTCTCTCTCTCATTCTCCTTATTTTCTCATGCTTCAGCTCCTGGCCCACTTCATCACAACAGCCCATTTTGCTCCTCTCCAGATTTTGGGTAGAAATGCATAGATATATAATTATATTTCATATTTGTACATTCTGAATGTACCATCTTTTTTCTTTCTCGTTCTCCTTTTTCTCTATTGCTTTAAATGACACTGCAGCTCATTTGGCTCTTCTTTATTATTGTCATCATCATCATCATTATTATTTTTACTACTATTTTAATTATAAAGTTACCTGTTTGATATTAGAACTAGCAATCCTGTTTTCCATCTGCAGGTTCCTCATGGAGAGTTCTACCTTCTGCTTGGCTTCTATTTCTCTGCAATCAAGAGATGACAAGGCCATAGCGACCAAGTTATACATATTCTCTTAATTTAATATTTGAAATTGAAAATAAAAATAAGTAAATAACTTCCACCCTCTGTATTAACTTGTGCCACAAAAGTGGGTTATCTCCTTCATAGTTTTATTATTTAAAACAATATATCTGATATAAATCTATGAAGTATGTTCACCTATCTTGGAAATGAGTCACCAAATCCTGTACACTATCTTCAAAATTAATGTTGTTTATTAAACAATTACCAGTGTCTTACTTTGTGTACTGGCTGTCCTTCCTTGCAAGCTGTTCTTTGATCTTATTAAAAAGGACCTCAGCATTTTTCCTCTTTTCTACTTCTTCATTCAAACCATATCTGAAGTGAAAACAACCATAAAATTTATACAAAATTATCTTATTGCAAAAATTACTCACAGTCAAATAAGAAAAGATTAAACAGGTAGTTATTATAATTAGAAAAAGTCTTGTTTCCTTCGGTTACGTCTCAAAGTCAGCAGAGAGGGTAACACAAAACTGTCATCAAGCAAAAGATATCATATTTACACAAAATGAAACTTTCTTTCAGCATAACTACTGGTAACATAAGATCCAGTGAAGTTATATGGAGTGTGAAGATAGAGGTCTGTCTCATATGAACTCCTATATAGACTCACTCATTGGTCCTGAGCCTGGCCTCCAACTCCAATTTGATCTGTTCCAGGGAAGACTTGGCCTGAGACAGCTCTGATATACGCCTGGGAAATAATAAGTCATATAATATGTTACCAGACATTAAAAATATAAAATTACTATCAATAAGTCTTCAATAAGGCTCCAGTTAAGATCATTTCTCAATACAGAAACAAGAAACAGGTAACACATACTTGTTGAGTTCAGCTTTTTCCTTCTCCCATGCCTTCTTCTTGTTCTCTAGTCTCATCCTGATCCCGTGTTCCTTGTCCAGCCTCCTGCTCTGTTCACGGAGCTGCTCCTGCAGTCTGGTCAGGTTGGAGTCTGAATTAGATATAATATACATAACAAAATTAATATAATATTCATAATATATACATCAATATGATTTATGGTAAAAGATATGCTTTGTGTTTACTTTCTGCACTTCAGATGGTCTAGCAGCCAATGCAAGTTAGTTTCACATATATTAAATAAATAATATTAAATAAATAAATATTACAAATAATATAAAATAAATAAATAATAATCAATAAAATAAATAAATAGTAAAAAATATGAAAAATGAAATAAATACATAAATCATCTCTTAAAAATTCATGAAAATAAAATAACTTAGACTAGAAACAAAATAAAATAAATGTTATTTTGGTGCTAAAATCACATTTAATGTGACAGATCTTCAAACCTCATCATCTTACCATTGAGATTGGAGGTATTGAGCAGTGATTCCTTGAGATAGGGAGACATGCTGTACGTGCCGTTCATCACCTCACTGTTATCAGTACTGGAGTACGACAAACCATCGTCCTCATCCTCATTCATGCTGAAAGGTTTCGTAGAATTGACTCCTACTGGTCTGGTAGCCGAGACAAAGCCATTTCTGTAAAATAGTATTGTAATTATGTCAGAATACAGAGAAAAATAAATCTTAACTTTTAAAACTATGAATAAAAGTTAAAAGAGTTCTGCAGAATATGCTGTTTTTAATCTTGTTATTTATTAATATAACAGGATTAAGTCTTTTTCAGTGTATATATCTCCACATTTTGCCTTAACTGACAGACACTGACTTATAAAAACTTTAAATTATTACAATCCTACATACCCACACATTATAGTACCTATGCCTTGAAGTACAGCAGTATCATACAAAATAAAAAATCATTTGATTTCATCAAATTAATCAAACTCACCAACATATAATTTTTCATTCCATTTTACTTTGTAACCATTCATTAGTTTTGTGACATCAACCTTAGACCATAATGCATTGTGTTCATACTATGACATCACATTACATCATAAAGGGTATTACAATGCATTGTGTACTGTCTATGACATCACAATGCATTGTTTATTGTCTATGACATCACAATGTACTGTGTGCTGTCTATGTCATCACAATGCACTGTGTACTGTCTATGTCATCACAATGCATTGTATATTGTCTATGATTTCACAATGCACTGCGCACTGTCTATGACATCACTCTAATTCAAATCACAATGCACAGGTTACTTTCTATGTCATCACAATGCAATGTGTCTACTGCCTATGATGTGAAAATGCACTGTACACTTTCTAATACTAAAATACACTTTGAATTTTTGTGACATCACAATATAACATCACAGACAATAACAAGCTATCTATGACAGTACAAACACTGCTAAATGTTTATGACATCACATCACAGCTCTCAGTTCTCAGCTAATACATGTACCTGACTGGTACATCTCAACACTTTAATCTGGTGGTGAACTTATCTATAGTTGAACTTATACTTACACTTTTCCATTTCCACGGGGAGAAGCTAACAGTTCACTGTCATCCAGACTTGAGTTGTCATCGTCACTGATGGTGGCACCGCGGGAAGTGACGCCTGTCACAGAGTGCTGCTTCCGTCTCGCCTCCTCCAGTTCGCGTTCCGCTTTTTCTCGCCTCTCTTTCAACCTTTGAGATCTGTCCTGGTCTGAGTCGGTAATATCCGATGACAGTTTGGGGGTCTCAGCTCTACAGAAGAAAAATAAAATAAAATAACATTTAATAATAATCAAAACAACAGATATGTTTTTAATGAAGTCATTTGTTTTATGTGCTGTGAGTCAAAACCATACAGTAAAATTATTTTAATGATTTCAAATAAATGAGATAAATCTAAATAAATTGGCAATGCAATGAATCAAATACCCCTGGCCATTGAAATAAAATATTAAACAAAAATCAATTTCATTGGTTAAAACAACCAAAGCCATTATACTCCAATGCACAGTTCAAAGTAATCACTTTTCTTTATTTCTTAGTAATGCACACTAATCATTCAACCTTAATAACTCAAGTTTCCCTTATCAATCACATTTCACTATTCAACATTACCCCCAAACAAACTGACAAATCAGAAATAAATAAAGAAACATACAAATATAGAATGCTGGCTATTGCATAATTTAACCAACTGATTTGATCTACATAATACCAGTGACCAGATAAGGACAGATTCCATGGTTAGACCTTCACCTAGATATTTATTTCCAAGTGGGGTGATGAAACCACCCTTTTCATCAGGAATAGTCTACTCTGAATTAAAATTTGATCTAGTTTCTATGAACACATGCATGAAGTATTTGAGGTAAAAAGTCCAAATTTTCAGAAATATGCCTCCCCCCCCCCCCCCTGCTTGTCTGCATCAATTTAATTGTGGATCCACTTTCTTTTCAAACTGATATGTGCTTTCCTTTACAATCCTATCACTTTTGATCAACATCCACCCGCCCCCCCCCCTTCAAAAAAAAAAAAAATTGAAAAAATAAACTTATATTGAGGAGAAATATGTTTTAGCAGAAACTGAAAGCCATTTTTCTTTACAACACACGCTACCACATATAAGTCAGACACCAAAGAAGCAAGCTGTCTAAAACTCAACAGCATGTAAAATGAGTAATAATCTCTATGGAATGAATGTTTTGTTGCAATCATTGGAAAAAATCCATCTTTCTTACCACATTTCAACTGAGGTCAAGGCGCTATGAATTCTATAGCCTACAGAGACACTATATTGTTACAGTTATTACAATATAAATGTCTCCTGCTGAGCTATACAGAATACACTGTATTTCCTTACATGAAATACATCATTTTCTGCACCATTAATGGACTGCTTTATGAAAGAAGTATATCAGCATTTGTCTCCAATATCTTAATCAGAAATCAGTATCTGAACATAATTCAATTTTGGTGTAATTTATCCACACCAAATGATGTTGGAAAATTTACCCTGTGTCTAACACATATTTTCCTTCAGTTTTGGCATGTCACAAGTTTGCTGATCACAAAGGTGAGTTCTAAACATATTATGAAACTCAGGGCGATTATACAATTCCTTCAAGATATATATAATATGTATATCTTCCATTTTCCAAAGTATAGATCCAAATCCACCTTTTCTCTATGCACCACAATAAAATTAGTGTACCTTATTATCAAATCATGTTGCCCAATTACCTGTTCATGTTCCCATCTCCAAAACCACATCTTCAGGGCTATTATTATTATTTTGAAATCATAGTTTGCCCGCCAAACACCATCACCAATTTGAACATCTGTCCTTTGTACAGTCAAAAAACAATACACAAATCCTTTCAGAATAATTATACATCAAATTAAGATGTCCCTCCATATACCACCACCACTGGCAGTTTGACCATCTGTCCTTTTCAGGACCCCCTGATTAAGGTATTAACTGTCAACCTCAGAGAACCTGCCTTTCAATTGATCCCATTAAACACAGGCATGCTGCCGTGCACCATGTCAATTGTGCACCATGTCAATTGTGCTGCAAATAAAATGTTGACTCGTGGGATTAGCCTCCTTTCCACTGACTAGCAACCTGATTAAAAATAGACCTCCCCTCATAAAACATGCATATTTCCCTACTTTTCCCTAGCTACCTGTGCATACTCCCTGAATGCGACGATAATGACTTACCAGGTGATGACGCCGTGAGCTGCCTCCAGATCTGTACTATGCTCTATGTGGTAACAACACAAAAGCAGAACTATTATAATTAGGTTGAAGTAGGCTAAGTAAGCACCGGTTCAGTTCAGTAATTCAGCAGACACACACAATACAGCTGTACAGTTTGTGGAGCAGCTTGCCTTTGTGCACAGCAGCGTTACCTTGTGTGTACGTCCACAGTCTATGAATTAATGCACACAATACTCTCTATTGTCATTCACACCCGGCGGGTCAATACATCCACACCACGCTTACATACTCACAGAGCCAGGAATTTTCAATCGATAAAAACAAATGTAACTAAAATGACCTTATTCTTAACAATATAGCAAAAGAACACCGGTACGGTTTCCTGCAAAGCACAGCTCATACATGTCAGGGTAAATTTTCAGGAAATTTACTTAGCGTCATTGTAATTGATTTTTGCAAGTGTTACGTGCTATATGACTCAAAGCTAATGCTATAAATCTTTGAGTGTTTCATAATGTAAACATCTGATAATCCTATTAATGCCATAATAAATCTCCCATTAGTTAAAAAAATATCACTGACTTCACAAGCAAAAAAGCTTGATTTGCAAGTGACATATAAGCAATGAAAATATAAGTTTAATTAAAAATAATTTAAAAAAAAAACTTGATCCTAAAACCTTTTTACAAGGTGAAAAATTGCCTCAAAAGGAACTTGACCTCAGACTGCATTCATGCAGATATACTGGAAGTCAAATACAGGTCTTTACAAATTCTTATAATCTCTCTCATGCTGTGTCACATATAAATTGAAACAGTACATGTTGAAAAAATTTTACATGGTATTGTTATAATCCCTTTGCCAGGGAAGTTGTCATTATTTTTATTTTTTGTTATTATTTTAAAAAATTTTTGGAGGGGATGAGGCTAAAATTTCACCAAACACTGTAAATACAGTATAAATATGATAAGTGGGCAGTAAAAGAAGCTTAAAATTCACAGCAAATATCCCACTGTTGTAAAATTAAAAAAAGAAAATGCAGTGATAACGGAGAACACCATAAACGCCAGCTATTACCAGCTATAATCTTAAAAATTCACGTAAAACTGTTCTAAAATTTTTTAAAAATGCAGTGATAAAAGAGAACACCATAAATGTCAGCCATATCCAGACACTTTCCTATATCACAATCTGGACTTAATATCCTTCCATGGATGGAACAAAACAACTCATAAAAAATGTAAAGAAAGTGCAGTGCATTTGTAAAGGATTTCATCAGCCATATTCTGCACTCGGTCACTAACTACAGTAGTTTTTTTTTTTTCAATACACAAGCTAAAATCAGTTTAACTTTCACTTTATTATTTTGGTGTCTACCTGGTCAACTTCTTCAGAGAATGGTACTACATGTGTGGCCTCATTCCCTGAAGAAGGTGAATATAAGGTGAATATCAAGAGGCCAAAATAATTCAGAAATTAGTCCTGCTGCTGTGAAGATACTACCTTAGTGACTGACTGCAAACCACATTCAAACATGGCTTATTCTAAGACTTTGACTGACCTGAGCTGTTGTTCTCTCTCAAGTCTCTCCTGCTCTTCCCTGTCCTCCAGCTCTCTGCGGACCCTCTCCAGTAGCTCCTGCTGTTCCCGCTCCTGTCGCTCTTCCTCCAGCCGCTCTTCCTCCTCCCTCTGCAGGCGTTCAGCTTCAAGTCTTTCCTGTTCTTTTTTCAATCTTTCCGCTCTTTCTCTCTCCTGCTTTTCCCACTGCTTTCGCTCTTCCTCCTTGCGTCTTGATAGTTCTGCTTCCATTCTTTCCTGCTCTCTCTTCACTCTTTCTGCTCTCTCTTTCTCTTGGCGCTCTCTCTCCTGTCTTTCCTGTTCCTCTCTCTGTTGGCGTTCCTTTTGTATCTTTTCTCTCAAGTTATCCTCTCGTTCTTTTCGCTCCCTCTCCAATCTCTCCTTTAGCTCTCTTGCTTTCTTTTCACGTTCAAGTTTTTCATTTTCTTGTCTTATCTTTTCTTGTTGTTCTCTTTCCTCTTTTTCTTTTCTAAGTCTGGTCTCTTCTTCTTTCCTTTTTCTTTCTTCTTCCTCACGCTTCTCTTTTTCCAATCTTGCTTTCTCCTGTTTTTCCTTTAAGATGAAAATTAAAGATTCTAAATCTTTGATTGTATTAACATTTAAATTGAAATTTCATTATTCTAAGAGTTGTACAAAGAACTGACCAGAAATATCTTGAAAAAAACTTGAATCAAAATTTTATAGTTGTACTATGAAAAATTACAAACAACACCCACCAATTCTTCCTTCTTTCTCCTTTCTTCCTCTTCTCTCTTCCTTTGTTCCTGCTGCTCCTTCTCTTTCTAGAATTGAAAAAAAGGTTTGTGTTTCAAATGCCAAATATGCATCACGGTAATCTGTTCTCTTGAAGCACCCATGTTTGACTGAAAATCGTTTTACCATTGTGATTACATAACATCTATGGCATTAACAGTAACCTTGATATGCTGAAGTTAAAACAAATAATAATGAAGGGGGACAAAGGACAACTTTTATTTCAATTAGCACACTCCTGAAATTTACAAAATTGAGTGCTTACCCTAAGTTCTTCCTCTGCTAGTCTCCTCTGCTTCTCTTCTCTTTCCCTTTCTTCTTGTTCCCATTTCAGCACCCGGTCAGCCTCTGCCTTCTGTCTCTGTGGCAGAAAAAAAAAAATTGAAATGTTATAAAGGCACTCTCCATGTCTCTCTCTCTCTCTCTCTCTGTCTCTCTCTCTCCCACCATACTCTCCCCTTCTCTCTCTCTTTTTCTTGAATTATTGCTTGATTACTCAACTTACTAAGACTAGGGGTGAAAAAAAAAGGGATGCAATTATAAATGCAAATTCTCAGAACAATAATCCCAGTTCAATTTCACAATAATTACTAAACAATATTACCTTCTCCTCCTCATCATCTGGCTGCATTAAAAGTAAAAATACAACACACAAATGAACAGAAATCCAATTAAATTGCAAAATGTAGGGATATAGACCAAAACAGTGTGTATGTTAATTATATCCCCAACTAATGAATGCAGGGACGGATTGAAGCTGTCTTCCAGAAGACAGTCAGATTTGTCAGGTTACATTGATGGGTATCTAATTTTTAACATTTTTTTTTTCTGTTGGAAGATAGTCAAAAATGGAAGATGGATCAACAAAGTTAATTTGGAAGAATGTCAGAAAATATCTCTGGATCTGCCCCTGAAATGGGCAATTTCTTGCAAGTCAAATCTAACTTGGGACAGCAAACCACAACATTGCACCTCAGATTTTAAAATATAACCTTCTTATGGATCAAGTTAAAACCCTGTCTGAACATGACTTTGTAAACTTTCCACCAACCTGTCGGTCTCTCTCCCACTCACTCTCTTCTTCTTCCTCCTCCTCTTCTTCCTCCTCCTCCTCTGTACCATACATGCCAGTAGGGGAGGAGACAGGGGGCTGCTGTTTCTGGGGCCTTGAATCAGGTTTGGCATCTCTGTCTGATGGGAGAGCATTCTCCTTTGGGAAAATTAGTCAATGATGAATTAAAACTATACAAATATAGAAAAATTGACAATAATAAAGATATGGATATGGGAACTAAAAAAAATTGCCACTGTGGCAATTCTTTGACTGAAACATTGCTTTAAATCTAGTCTAAGAGAATAATCTTTATTTCATTCTTTCTTTATCAGTGTGATTCTTCATTTAGTGTTTTTTTAATATAGATCTTTCACTTACATCTGAGTCCCATCCAGATTCTTCAGACTCTTCCTGTTGCTGTTGTGACTTGGTCTGAAAGAATATTAAGTACCTCTAAAACGGATGAAAAAACACCTACATTTCTTTACCTATGCTCTGTATGTGCAGATGTAATGGCAATTCTTCAAACCTTAAAGAAACTTTGCACTTCGGGATGGAATCCCTGAGACATACCTGCATAATGCTTTCAAACAAAAGTTTCTACTCAAGCATGCACTACTTTAAATGTTGTAAACCATAAACAAAAACATTAATTAAATTAACATTTAAATAAGGATAAATGAAAGACTGCTAACAGTCCCTTGTGCTATAAATTCATTTTAGTGACTATTTTCTAATTGAATAACCAATCAAAAAACATTATAATAGTTAATAAAACTTCTAAAAATTTAGCAAAGTTAGTTAAAAAAACAATAACTTGAAATATCACAGAAAACTAAGTCAGTGACTACTGACAAATAAATCAGAAGTGCAAAATCACAATGACTACTTTGAGACATCATTTCATCTCAACACTAAAACTGAACTTTGGCAATACAATAAATGCACATGCAAATTTAATACCAGGATTACGCAGTTCTGATAACTTCTACTGAAAGACTTAACAAGAAAAGCTGTATTTGCTGCTTATTTTGTGATGGCAGGAAAAAGTTACCCTCTGATTTCAGGGCCCGACTAAAACAATATACAAAATCACACTGTGTTTTTCCAACATTTTTATATCATACTACTAGTGCACCCTGTGGTCAGAGAATAGGAAGAAGCCATGTGTCTGTTTGTTTCGGAAACTGCAAGGCCCTGATCGAAGAGTGACTGAATTTGGATGCCAACTTGATTTCTAAGGTAAGTGGCAGTTTGTTAGGAATGTTTCTATATTATCTTGTTGCAGCTGAATGCATCTAATTATGCCAAAGCTCAGAAATGATACTTGATAAGTAAAACATATTTTGGCACACACAAATTGTGAAGGCAAAGGTCAAGTTCATCAAGACTAATAACTATCAAGTATTATCTAGTATAAAATCTAAATATTGACATAATACTATAAATATAATAGTTGAACTAGCACACGCTGCTACTGCGATCAATGACATCTAGCACATGTAGGACCTACAGAGAAAGTGAATTTAATAGGAGAGAATTCACAGCAAGTCATGGTGAGAAGCATTTGGCAAACAGAACACTATTATTATATTAATGATGTCACTGGATTAGCTGCTCAATCTCATTTATGTGATGCTGTGGTATATGAGATGAAAGATTATACTAAAAAACATGGCAATACACATTTTTATCATCTGAAAAGGAGAAATCTTTAAGTAGATTATGAAATAATCTAGCAGGTCTAGATCCACATTCTGTACAAAGCAGACCTTAAAGGTCAGTTTTATAGCACTAATCGACTGCAAATTAGCAGCATTTTTTCATATGCTAGGTAAGAGGTGTGTGAGCAGGTGGGGGGAGGGAGAACTTTTAGTGGTATCAACATATACTGCAATCTATTGCAATTATATTAACAATTGAAAAAGGTGCCCTATTAGCCAGAAAACAACTCTGTTGTACTAGCAGCCACACATTATGGTGATCACACACAATACACTGTAGGCTACGACTGGCAATCAACAGAAAGCAATCTGGGGTATGAGGTTAATGTTACACATCAGCCCTGTCCTAATACACCCTGAGTTTCACAGATCTACCATCTACTCCCCTTTAACCCAGCATACTTAACCATATACAGAGTACAGGAGATTTATTGGTTGGGATTATGAAACTCAGGGTGTTTTCAAAACCAGGACTGTTTGTGATGGGTGATGAGGGCATGAACCTGTGGCGAGGATCTCTCTGCCTCTAACATTTCTGCCTGTAGAGGGGTGACATTGCGCCTCTCCATGCTGCTGGCTTCACTATCCCACTCACTGTTCTCTTCCTGATGAAAGTGCTCAACATTCAATATGTGGAGAAAATATAATGCACACGGGGACACAGCCATATTAAATAATAAGCTACCAAACAGACAGTGAGTATATACATTTTGGCAACTGTAACAGTCCTTTTTTTAAAAATCTATTTGCCAAATAAAACATAAAACATTTAAGATTTGTCAAATATTCTGTAATTGTCCAAAACAAACAAAATCTTATTAAAACTCCTTAAACTCATTTGCAATTTCCTCACGAGTCTAATAAAGAGTGTTTTGAAATATAAAAACATTGTAGTCACACAAATTGTTAGTAGCTGAAGCTGACTCACCTGTTGTGATGGCGACCGTTGTGATGGTGACTGTTGTGATGGTGACTGAGGTGAGTTACTTATGGCAGGTGTACCCTGTGATGACCTTTGACCCGGATCTTTTGGCAAAACTGCATCCTCCACATCACTGTCCCACTCACTTGACTGAGTTAGTAAAAATTGCAAGAAAAGCTTAAATTTTAAGCAGAAAATTCTAAACAAGATAGCAAAAAAAAAAAAAAAAAAAAAACCTTCATGCTTAACTTAAAAGCTGAAGAGATCAAAATACAGCAAATATTGACAAATAATAGATAATTCAAAATAAAGAGACAAGTCATTGAAAGAAAAATAACTTAGTCTGAAAAATGCATAATCAGATGATTAGTTCAGCTGTAAAAAATATCAAAGCATTTCAAGTACCTGTAATGAGGTCTTATTAGACTTAAACCAGAACTGGCTTAGGTAAGTGACATCACCAAACAAGCAACCAACCAGTTAGGGCTCAGTGGGAACTCACTGTAGACCCTCTGTGGTTAAACATTTTGTCTGAAGAGCCAAAGAGAGAGAGAGAGAGAGAGAGAGAGAGAGAGAGAGAGAGAGAACATTTAGCTATTACTGTATGTGTTTGTTGTTCTACCTTGCTTTCCTCCTCATCACCATTGCTATCCTCCTCCTTCATTTGATGCAGCAAGGGTTATAAACAACAGTGCACTATTAGGTATATACTTCAAGCAACTGACATGCTCTTAGCAATCACTACACTGTGATAAACAGTGTATACAAACAGATATGAGAGGAAAACCCTACGCACCTCAGTTGATACTGTTGTTGCTTTGTCAATGTGCCCCAGAAAAAGCTTTTTTTAATTTTATAAAGAACAAAGACAAACTAATAGTATTAAGTTGTAGGGATCATAGGAAAAAGGCACACAAATATCTACATAATTATACATCTGTTTGGAGAGCTCTGTGTTCACACAAAGCCTTAAACTAGCTTCACAGTATGCATATCACTTTCCACAAGTGACTTCACACTAGCTCATTGATAAATATGATTACTAAATAGAACACAGTATCACTATAAAGATAAGAAGTGCCACACTTGTTATTGACTGAAATAACAAAAAGTTAGCTTGGTGTCATGTAAAAAAAACTTGTGGAAGGAAAAATAGATAACTGAAAGAAAACAAAGTTTTTATGCCACTCCAACAAATAAATCTGAAAAAAAAAGACAGATCACCACATCCAAGGGTTGTTACAAAAGTGAAAATTTATTTTTAAAGAGATCAGACAAAGACAACCAAACTGAGACAAGCCGAGAGCACTCATTGAATTCCTAACCTGCTCCGATGGGTCCTGTGTATCCTGAGTGGCTTGGTCCCCCCCTGGGACATTGCTGGCCTCTGCCTCTGCTGAACCTGTGGTGCTCTTAAAACACAAGGATGTTAATGCAGAGATATCATTCTATGCCAATATACGGTGTCAATATTGTTTTGACAAGCTGACAGTGGACTACGCTAACTCTGGTCATAAATCCAGTACTTACCACATATTACATTAACCAGTGAGACAAAGGCTTACTTAAACAACGAAACCATAGATTGAAAGGAGACCTCATTCTTTTATTCTGCCAATTATTGAAAATAATAAACCACACTCATGACATTTATGTTAAATCGATACAATTCTTTAAGGAACTAAACATAAACCTTGATATAATGGTCAACATTATCATCAATTGCTATCCCTACCAGGAACTCAGCTGAATCATCAACAAATTACATAGTCTGGATTAAAAGAGCACATGTGGTAAGAAACACCATTCTACTGTGTTTAATTAGACACATTCCCACTTAAACTATCGATCTACACATATTGACCCAACTCTGCAGGGACTCTCACTGAATGCAATCAGTATAACAGTATAACAGACTAACACACCTCCTCTTTGGATCAATCTATGTAGAACAATAGTCTCATTGGGAAGTAAGTGGTAAGGAAGGTCAAGAGTGGACAAAAGGCTTCAAGATAATCCAGATAAAAGCAATAGAGATGTAATGCTTGTGATACGGAAACTACACCAAATCGTGTGTCAGAATATCACCGATTAAGAGAAATACAAAAGAATAGCTATTTTAGAAGATTAGAAAACAATATCCTAAGTCTAACACCACATCAACTAGGACTGACCTATATCACATTTTCACAACACTTTATGTTATCATATAGGAAAGAAAAAAGTCACAAACTGAGACCCACAGCAGCATTTTTAGAAATCCAGTTCTGCCCTAAATTGGGCAAGGGTGGAAACAAACTTATATCTTACATGATATCCTGGATCTATTAGTACTGAACACAATGAAAAATTTAGAGCCCACGAGCTGGACATCAATCGAAGTCTTCCCTTCTACCTACCACAACTAGAGATACAATTAGGTGAAAGCTCCAGACAACAAAACAGAAAGACCACACAGCTCTCTACAGGTCTGCTGAGGCATGGACTTAAACCTGTGCAGGTATATGTTTAGATGACATCACTAGATGATCTACTTAACTAGCTGGATATATAGCAGAGTCCACTGGGAGCTTATAGTGGACCAACCTATACACAGGGATCTGTTGAATTTAGTTTTAATTTTATTATTTCCTTTTGCTGGGATGAATCATTGAAATTACTGTAAAATCATTTTGGTCTGCTGGTGATGTCATCTGAACATGAACCAGAACAGATTTTAGTATGAGTGTGAACAGACTAAGTTTATAGCACATATTCTTACAGGTGGTGGTCCAGTGAAACTGGCAGTTATGGACCTCGAATCTTTACTTTTTGGAGACTCGGACCCTTTCTGTTGCAAATCCGCTTCACTTTGTTCCTCGTCTTCATCAGTCTACAACATACAGGACACCATTGTTGGTGATAAATACTTTTGTTTTTATGCTATTTATCTGACTATTTAATAAGTGCTTAATCTGCAATAGTGGACAACACACTTGTTTAAGAATGAAGTATTGATTTCATTCAGATATAAACACTGTGGCATGCCTTATCTCTATCAAACTATAAGTATAATTATAAAATATTATAATGCTGAAAGCAAAAGACAGGGAAAAAAACATTAGACAGAAGCAATTTTCCTTACTGCTGAACCTGCATAAAAAAGAGTTTAAAAGATGCACACATTGCATGTAAGAAAGCTTGTAAATACACTGTACTAAACAATGAATGGAAAATATAATAGCATGGTGTCGATGCAAGCCAAATCTATAAATTGGAAAACATCTATCTAGAACTGAAAATCTGTATAATAAATTCTTATAAAAGGACAGACTATGTATAGCCTAGTATGTAAGCAACATAAATTGTTTTCATCCACCAGACAGAGAGAGAAATGACCAATATCCCACAGCTTTTGTATACTGTAACCATATCATTCCTAACATTCCCTTCAGAGAATCAAATACAGCAAACAATACACAAATGACAGCTATTTCATTCTGTTAAAGCTGTAATGGTTAACTTATTTTCTAAAAAATACCACCAGAAAAACATCTTAAATGCAATGTATCTCCATGAATGTGCTGATACTCCATTAAAGCACAAAAATATTGGTCCAGTAAAACACAACAGACTAAGCAGGCCACACCAAGATTAATATGGAAGTTACCCCTATTAGGAAAGTAGCGTGATGGGGGGAGCTAGGACTATTCTCCTGTTTTAACTCCCCCATTTCTTCTTCTTCTTCCTCATCTTCACCCTCGGATTCTTGGATTGATTTCTAATGAGAAAAGCATGAAGTGTGATTTTTTAACGCAAGATCATTACAGGTATATATGGTACACCAACAATACTTTGTGAAAGTTCCAACCAACCAACCAACCAACCAAAATTTTAAGCAATTTTAAGCTTGCCTATGATGAAAAATTAAATGTAAAATCATTTGGTTCATTTCAAAAGAATACAGAATGAAACACATACACACACACATGCACACACATGTACACGCACACACACACACCTTGTAGTCTAACAGAAAGAAAATGAATGAAACAAAATAAAAATAAGTGTCAAAACTGTATTCCAAGACAGTTACAAGGAAAAAAAGCATTCTTATCAGTCTTATGCCCCACTGTAGACACTAAGTCAAAAATAGTCTGAAAATGCAAAAGCCACAAGACAAAAAGTACTCTACACTTCACTAGAGATGACACACAACAGCCCCACTGCACTGTATGTATCACCTGCTGGATAAGATGTTCATATTTTAACAGTGTGGAGTCTCCCAGTGCACCACCCTCTGTATCATTATCACCATCATCTGAAGACTCACTGTCATCCCTGGTGGCTGGCTACACATACAATACCACATAATAAAGGTTACAAAGGCCAAGGATGCATGCAGGCCTATGCCCTGTGTACACATTGCAGATACAACTTTTTCACACACACACACACACGCACATGCATACACACTTACTAATAGACTGTAATCTTAAAATTTCAAAAATAATTATGAGTTAAATACACAGACATTGATACAAATGTATCTTCATGAAAAAAAGGATCACAAACCCTTGAGAAAAAACCAATACTGTAGTTCACACTACCTTCTGAGGACAGAGAGAAGAAAAGGAGATATGGCACACTATCTTTTGTGGATATGGAAATATCCAAAAACACAAGTCAGACAGAGAAACTAAGTTGTGGACACAGAAAATATCCATAGCAAAAGTCAGTCAGAAATACCATGTTGCTGACACACAAAATAACCAAAAACACACAACAGAGAGATAGACATATTTCCACATGTAAAGACAAAGAGAATTCAAGCATTTTCTTTGAAAATTTGCAAAAAAATCAATTCAAGAACAGGAGAGACAACTGCACCTGATCTAATTCCTCCATCTTATTGTCCTCAGACTCACTGAGATAGAATTCCACTGACTGAAATACAGACCATCTCTTTAACAACTCAACTTTTTTTTTAAATTTATTAACCTTTTTCTTCTTTTTGATATCAAAATCACAGCCAAGCCAAATTTTAATCCAAGAAATCTGTAATAATTCCCAACAAGCTTTGTTTGGATTTCAAACATACAAAACTTGATTTTCAACTCATCATATATCTTTAAGATTTGTTTGTTAGGTGAGCCTTAATAATGAGGATTACATTCATGAAATCATATAAAATATGTGGACCTTTTGAATGGTTTTCTCAGTTAGGGATGCTCTTGAAGCCTTCCTCGATGGTTCTCTTGAATCCTCAGAATCTACATAAAATGATGCTCTCTGAAAAAACAACTTTACTTTGTTAAATAGTGACATTCCTAGGACAAGCCATACCAGTTATTTAACCTCATTTTATCTTGAAAATATTGGTGGACCTAGTTCTAGAACAGTATCACTTAAGATTGCTAAGAAAATAGAAAGATACAGGTATAAACTTGACCAAAGTCTAGACTTGACCACAAGCTTGGCAGCAGCAGACAAATGGCAATTAAGAATATGGCACTTATTGAAAATTGGAATTTGCACTATATTTACCATCAAAGTTTCAAATTGATAATCAGCAAAACTATCACTACACAACTGCCAGAAGATCAATGGTTATACAGATACATCATTGCACATATCTCAGATTGAATACTGTCTTCCTTTGACTTTTCAAAATAAACCATTTATAGCCACACAAAAAGGTTTTATCTTGTATAATGATTAAAGATCAAAAGAATGGGCAGCATTTGAATCTAAAGACAGTGTTATAGTAACAGTCACACACTCACGCCAGTCCAACAACTACACTAAAATCACACATAATGCACACTACCATAACTTCACAAAATGAGACAAAAAGACTTTGCTCTGGTTCTCCAACTTATTTGTCATTATAGAAATGTTACTTTGTGTGTCTGATGCTGATAGAAGCAAATGAATCTCAAATGTACAGAATAAGGTGAAAATACTAAAAGTGCACTGGACATAGAATTATACATATTTTTAATCAAGAATTGGCCGACTAATTTTGTTAAATAACATAAAACTGCAATGAAACAAGGCCAGACAAAATGTACTTCAGACACATCAAAATAATAAACAAACAAAAAAGCTGGAAGAGATCTGCTTCATGCCATTTTGGAAGTGAAAAAGAAATCTCAACATTATGTTCCAACACCTGTTTCATTTCATCCATCTGAGTTCGTTCTTCCCCTGCATCAGCAGCTTCCGAGTCCCACTCACTCCCTTCCTCTTCTTCCTCAGTATACTACACATAATGTGACAAATATCATTTATCATCATTGTAAGTTATTATTAGTCTGAGAGAAATTCCAGAAATGGCCTCAGTTTGCAAAAGATTGAGTAGAAAAAAATTTAATCTACAACCTGTAGATGCAGGCTGTGCCATTGCTTATTATTTCAGGTAAACCATCAGCCACCAGCCAATGTCCTCACAAGGTTACAAAGTTGTCATTATGATCATAATGTTATCATCTATTGACAGACACTGTAAGTGTGGGGACACATTTTTTACTCTATATGTATATAAACAGCCTACAGTGAAAGAGATAAATTACATACACTGAAAATAATGAAAAATAATGAACATTATTATGATAATGCATGATAACAAACAATGACAAGCTGTACACAGCCAGTATTTTTTTAAGTGAATTAAATTCACTATATGAAAGAGGCACTGGAAGGAAAGATTTTTTCTGAAATAGAATATGGATGAAACCCTTTAAATTCATTCTTGCCTGACAAAGCAGCTGCAAAACGTGTGTATTTGCATGCAGATATCGATGCTATTGCAGTTACAAAGAACTTTCAGCACAAAGGTAAGAAAACCGTGAAATCACATTGAGAAGTACTGTTTCAGTGAAATGCTAAATTATTTCAGTAAACCAACAAACATTAGTCTGTTAATTCTTACAATAAGTATCAACAAAAGAACAAGAAAACAATTTGTACCTTCATAATACATCATAAAATTATGCAAAGTATGTGAGAAGCAGAATTCTTAATATGTAGAGAACAAGCAAATTTTCCCTCAACAACAAGCACAAGCAACAACAACAACAACGCAATGCTGATCCAAGGTGTCATCAAGAACTCATAACCAACAATACCTTCTTCATCTCTATCACCATGGAATCATCCAGCAGATAGTCAGACACAGAGCGGCACATGGCAGGGTCTACGTCTACAGGGAGAGAGGAAGCAAAGCCATGCAGTATGGTTTGAGTGCTAACACTATGGACCATGCCAGTAGCCTGTTGAAACAGGGGCTCAGACAGAGAGGAGGAACCTGCAAGGGAAGCAGCATCAAGCTGACAGATGAGGTTAGAGTGCATCAGCTCTGAGAGAGAAGAAGAGGAAGACCTCGAGCTTGGTATGACTGGTAGCTCGCGGTGATCTGTGCTGGTAGATGTCTGATTGGAATCCGGTGGAGAGACAAAGCGGTCGGAACTCTCAGTGTGGACGGCTGTGGAAGAGGGTACAGCCCCACACCATAGCAAATCACCATGGGACTGTGGCAGCCTTGCAGGAGCCTCATCCGGATGACCACTGGTCAGTGTAGGACATGAACAGGCAACTGCCTGACCACCAACTGCTGCCCCAGTGTCTTCAATCATCAACTTGTCCATAGATGAAACCTTGCTTTTCCTCTTAAAGAAATTGATCAATCTTCTCTTAGAAGAAGACTGTCCACTTTTCTTGCCTCTGGAAACTTTTTTCTTCACACCAGCAGACTTCTCACCCGGTTCCTTACTACCTTTACCTTCTTCAAACCCTTTCTCTTTGCTTCCTCCTTTCATGCCATCCTCAGTGCCTTTGAGCTTGAGAGATCCACCACTGGTATGGGTGTTAGCATGAGCCGATGGCACCAAGAAAGGATCAGACCTAGCAGCAGTAGTAGCAGTGGTGGAGGTGGCTGGAACCCACCCGTGTCGAGGACACAGACAAAAATACTGCAGTTGTAATGGCTGACCCACAGCTGTCTCTACAGTCTGGGTGCAGGCACTCTTCATATTGGTAACCCTTACAGGTGAGGCTGACATCTCTGATACTGCTGGAGTGGGTGAACCCCTTACTGTTTCTCCTGTGGTTATTTGGGAAGTAGACTGAGTGTAGCTTCTACTGTTTGATCCAGTCATCACTGAACTGGAGGGTAGCCCTGATAAGGTACTTTGTGATGCTGTTGCTGCTGTAATTGTTGTTAATACTTGAGATGTTGCTGTCGTCACTGCTGTCACTGATGCTGCTGATGTTGGCGTTACTGGTGCTGTTTCTGATACAGAAACTTGCGAGGCATCATTGGCATTTCTACTGCTAGATCTAGATGAGCCCAAACTCCTGTTGTTATTGTTTTGATTGGAGTTAACCAACACATCCAGTGACCTTACATACACCTCAGGTGCTCTCAACAACAATGGAGTGTTTTTCTTTATCTGGGAATTTGGTGCTTTTGAAGACTTACAGTTATGCTTCAAGTTCTCTTTTCCTTTTGTCTCCCGCATCTTTGATCTAAGCTGACCTGACTTTATATCACAGTCATGGCTACTGGATGAAATCCGTGCCTCTTCCACTGGACAGTAAAATTTAACCGACTTCTTACACCCATCCCCTCTCTCCTGACATCCACCATTCAGTTCTTGCAGTGGTAGAGGCCTCTTGAGAACCCCTTTCTTCTTCTTCTGGTTGGACATTCTCTTCAGGTCTCTGATAGACCCAGCATAGGCAGACTGTCTAGGTGAGGGAATGGCTGACTCCATTGTGGTCATATCATCCAGGCAGTCATCTGAGGAGGTCCTACAGCCTGGGGGTTCTCCATCTCCATCATAGGACTCTGCTATAGCCATGGTCAGTGAGCTGTCACTTTGGGAGCCAGGACAGCCACTGTCACCAGCCACCATGTTTTTTTCCATAACTGTGCCATCGGTCATCGTTTTGCTGATTGCCATATTATTGGTCAACACATCACTGGTCACTTTGTCACCGGTCAGCACCCCATTGGTGTTTGTTGGTACAGGTCTGGCTTGGTCCAGCATGTTGTCCACCAATTGTTCACCAACTGACGTATTTAGTTGAAGAAAGGTGTTATTGATACTGCCAGCAGTAGAAGGGCTATGGCTACTTTGTCCATCAGAGTTCAAAAGTGGTGCTGCGCTGTCAAGCACAGAGTAAAAAAGTGGTGTCAATGCACCAGGCATTGGAGAAGATAGAGGAGCATCTAGACTTGGAAGCAGTGTATCTGCATTGGGCTCTGCTGAAGAAAAGGGGACTGTGTTATTAGGACTTGTACCAGGAAGTAGGTCTGCTGCACCAGACATCATCATGGTGTGAGGTTCTTTTCTGCTACATTTTTTAGCTGAAAGCCGCATGTGGTCTTTGGTAGTTTGCTGAACTGCTGTATTAGATAGTGCAGAAGAAAGTGGTGCTGTAACAGTAGATTCTGTTGCTAAAAGATGTGGTGTCACTTTAGAATTTGCAGTACTAGAAAGTGGTGCTGTTGTTTCAATCTTGGCAGTAGAAAGTGATCCAGTTTTATTAGACTCTACAATAGAAAGTGAAGCAGTCACACTAGGTTCAGCAGTAAATAGTGGTGCTGTCTTGTTAGACTCTGTAGTAAAAAGTGGTGCTGCCATGTTACAGCCAGTAGTTGAATGGGTTGCCGTAATACCAGACTCTTTAGTAGAAAATGGTGCTAACATGTAAGAGTCAGTAGTAGGAAGTGGTGCTGTCTTGTGAGACTCTGTTGTAAAAAGTGGTGCTGATAGGTTAAAGTCAGTAGCAGAAAGTGGTCCTGTAATATCAGACTCCAAAGAGGGTGGTGCTGTCATGTTAGACTCTGCAGAAAGCATTGGTACCTTTACACAAGGTTCCATGCTGTACAGTGGTGCTGATATTGGAGACAAGCAGGGCAAGCAGACAGAGTGTGACACAGGTACAGGAGTGCAAGCAGACACTGGGCAGACAGCTACCTCTAGAGACTGGGGTCTATCTACTACACACAAGCTTCCTGTTCTCACCTCCTCTTCCTCCTCCTCTTCCTCATCATTTTGAGTTGTCTTCACAGGGGGCTTGGGCTCTTCTTCTTCCTCAGAGTCCCATTCACTTTCCTCTTCCTCGTCTTTCTGTGGCTTCTGTTAAAAAATGAAATACTGATGGCATATTTACACATGTCCAAACAAAACAAAACAATGTATACAGTCATGTTTTCAGATGATCATGGTACATAACATTTTCCCTGCTATAAAGGATTACCCTTGTTTGGCAAATATATATAATTATAAATTATCTTATCTTGATATATTCATTTACATCTGATCACTTATGATTGATATCATGTGTGCATTATTTAGTTAATGGGTATAAATACTGGACAGCAGTACTGGGAAAACCAACACCCCCTGATGGCCTACACTACCTTCTGAGTATTGTTGAGTTTGCCAGGTGGCGGCACTGGGCTGTTGGACTGAGAGGCAGCTGTGGAGACCCAGTCACTGTGCTGGTCAGCATTCCTGGGTGTACGTCCAGTATCCAGGCCACTGGGGTCACTGACCTCACTTAGATCACTCATGCCTAGCTCAGCCATGATGTCTGACACAGAGAGGTAAACCAAAAATTGAACTTGTGCGTGAGTGTATGTGTATTACTATGTTTAATTACTTGCATTGGGTTAGCACTGATATCTCTAAATTTCTTTGAGAAAACTTTATCATATTATCATTATTATTATGAAAACAATCATCAACTTATATGATGGTACTCTATAGTAAGTCTAGTAAACAAGTATAATTTTTCAATAATCATCACAACAGAATAGGTAATACATCATACCTTTCTGCTTTGACTTGTTTGCATCTGTCTTCTCTCCTGACTTTGCAGCAGTTTTCTTCTTTACTTGATTCCTCTGAAACATCAGGACAGCATAGAGATAGAGGNAATGAAATACTGATGGCATATTTACATATGTCCAAACAAAACAAAACAATGTATACAGTCATGTTTTCAGATGATCATGGTACATAACATTTTCCCTGCTATAAATGATTACCCTTGTTTGGCAAATATATATAATTATAAATTATCTTATCTTGATATATTCATTTACATCTGATCACTTATGATTGATATCATGTGTGCATTATTTAGTTAATGGGTATAAATACTGGACAGCAGTACTGAGAAAACCAACACCCCCTGATGGCCTACACTACCTTCTGAGTATTGTTAAGTTTGCCAGGTGGCGGCACTGGGCTGTTGGACTGAGAGGCAGCTGTGGAGACCCAGTCACTGTGCTGGTCAGCATTCCTGGGTGTACGTCCAGTATCCAGGCCACTGGGGTCACTGACCTCGCTTAGATCACTCATGCCTAGCTCAGCCATGATGTCTGACACAGAGAGGTAAACCAAAAATTGAACTTGTGCGTGAGTGTATGTGTATTACTATGTTTAATTACTTGCATTGGGTTAGCACTGATATCTCTAAATTTCTTTGAGAAAACTTTATCATATTATCATTATTATTATGAAAACAATCATAAACTTATATGATGGTACTCTATGGTAAGTCTAGTAAACAAGTATAATTTTTCAATAATCATCGCAACAGAATAGGCAATACATCATACCTTTCTGCTTTGACTTGTTTGCATCTGTCTTCTCTCCTGACTTTGTATGGACTGCAGCAGTTTTCTTCTTTACTTGATTCCTCTGAAAACATCAGGACAGCATAGAGATAGAGGAGGAAAATTTAAATATTCAGAAGTAATTATGTGGTCGTTAATTTTGCACAATGATTAATTAGGAATCAAAGATTGTTACTTTATTCAGCAAATGACAAATTAAACGTGTATTCAAGGTAAGCCTGATATGTTGTAAGGCCATCGATTTAAAGATACATACTAAATTGTGAAATAAATACCATCATAACCTAAAATAATAACAAATAATAATAATAATAATAGTTCCAACTTCCACATTTCACAAATTTCATTTTCCATCTATCGTTTGCTAACTTAACTATGGCTTCAACACTGACTTCTATATTTTTGAGCTGATTAAAAGAATAATAATAATAATAATTCATTATAATTATCACATTAAGGACAGTTAATTTGAAAAGAACTAAATATCATACTTCAGAGGTGTCACTTTCTTCCTCATCTTCCTCTGTTTTACTTTTAGGTGCAGTTCCTTTTTTAATGGTACCTGTATTCCGTGCATTGCCATCATCATCATCATCACTCTGTTCTCATGCAAGGGGAAATCATGCAGTTAATTCTACAATCTCAGGATTCAGTTCACACATGCATCATGGATCATTCAATTGTTAGAGAAAGAGTCAGCCTTTAGTATCCTTCTATCTAATCCCATCACTGACTGATTAGAAACAAATTTGGATACACCCTACCCGTATCAATAACTTGCCATTAAAATCAATAATTTAAAATCATAATTTCATAATGCAAGCACTATCATCTGTAATTTGCAAACAACACTTGGTCCTATCTTGACTGAGTGGTGACCTCTATTGCCATCTTTGTTGCTGGTGATTTTAAGTTATCTCAGACCAGTTATTTAAGTCACTTACATGACATATTGGTGATTTATGCTGTTTTGAGCTAAGTGTCAACCAACTATTTATTTAGACAATAAAGTCATATTGCTTTAAGACAGAGTGTTGTTCCAGATGACTTAATTTTACAAAAAAAAAAAAAATCTACAACTACAGGTAATGCTGTACTATTCATTATCAATGAAGCACTCTCACCTCTCCTGAAGAAGCCGATTTTTTCATCGGAGTCAGAGCATTGTTTTTTTTGATAGGCACCGGAGATGGGGGATCTGAATTCCAGGAATTCTCGGCATTGGATGACTTCCAGGAATCCTGGGACTGAATGGACCTCCCGGAGTCTGGCCTCTGGGAGACAGGTTGAGGTAGCTTGGACTTGCTGTTACCCTGTTGAGATTTCTTGGAGGAAGCTATTGGAGGGCTCTTGGAGGCTTTCTTGGCATCCACCATCTTGGGAATCTTGGAGGAAGATCTACCAGAAGTGCTCTTGGCAGATTCTATGAAATACAAAGAAATAATATAGTATTTTTCTATTATTATATATTAATAAAAATAAATTAAACAATTATTTTGAAAAGTGTACCCATCAATCTAAAAATGTCACAAAGTTTTTTTTTATGTTTAAACATCCTGTGAAGCTACTTATCTTTCTTAATTCACAATTCAAAAAATGATTACACCCCTTAAAAATAAGCACTTTTTTTCAATATTGCCTTCTGAAATGACAGGAAGACATTTGGCAATCTAAACAAATCATGGTTTATTTAAAACAAAGTTATTTAAACAGAAAAAGTGACCAGCATCTGATCAAAGTGCAGGGACAGCTCGAGCAATGTTTTGGAAAAACTAATTGCTTTTTTAAAAGGAAATTAAGCTTTGATATCAAGATCTCACAAAGGATACACTTTCATTTAATAAAATCTGAAGCACTTACCTTGATCAGTGCTATGTAAGGATTCATTAGAAGATGACCTCAACAGTTTGGCAAGATTTATACCAGGGACTGCAGGCTTCTGTAACATAAGGTAAGCATTGTTCAGTCAACTCAAATATATAATTGTTCATACTCAATTCTTTAAGTGTAAAAAGTGTGTGTGTGTGTGTGTGTGTGTGTGTGTGTGTATGTGTGTGTGTGTGTGTGTGTGTGTGATCTGTCATTCCTATCCTGAAGAAAATTTCTTTGCCAACAGCATAGGCCCGATAAGCTCAATTAAATACCATGCACAAGTGGGCATTTGGCAGTGTGCTGGTAAGTTTGGAAGAAATATCGTTCAAAAACAAAATCTCTTAATGAACATATCCAGAACAAAATATGTAAAGTAATTAAGGAGGAGTTTTAGTGTGTTAAACCTGTTTCAGAGAGTCTGAAAAATGGATAGACATAAATGTATGATCAGTTCAAGTCTTTATGACAATGATTTACAAATTTTAATGTAAAATATCAAAGTCACGTAAATATATAAAAAATAAAGCACCAGTCAGAAAAGCACACAGAATAATAACACTTAACATTTACTGAGAAAGAGAAAAAAAGATTTGACAAAGATTTGCCACAATATAACATTTCACTTATCAAAAGATAAAAAACAAGCAAAATGAAAAGAGCACCCAGATTGTGAAAAACTGTATATACTAAATGAGTGGAGTTCAAATGCCACATAAGAAAACCAAAGTCAAACAATTACAATAATTATATGCACAGGAGGAATGAAAGCAATAAAAATCCTACATTTGTAAACCAATTAAAAGAGGATGTTGTCAACCAGGACTCACCATTAAATTTTTTTTTTTCATTTTGAAAATAAAAACTGCAAATATTTCCATTGGATTCAGATAACCTAATATTTGATATGTTTTAACTAAATAAAATCCTTATCTAATGCTGAGCCTGGTAATAAGAAAAACACCCAATGTACAGGGCAACATTAAAATAAAACTAAATACCTACAAAAAAATGCCACTCAATGTTAAGCAAGCACTGAACTAAACCTAAATACAAACAAGAAGTTTGCCAACCTATATCAGCAACCATTAAGTAACTACACAGAACCAACCACAATCAGCAAACAAGCAAGTAGACAAAGGCAATACCAGGAAGGGTATATAAAACAAACCTCTTTCTTATTGCTCTTTTTCCCATCACCTCCATCATCATCATCCTCATCCTCATCCCAATTTCCATTGGTTTGCTGGGACGAAGTAATACAAATTATAACAGACATGCAGGGCAATAACAAACAACATAAACATTCCCCCTACTGCTATTAAAACCTATGTGACATGCTAACATAGGTATTCAATACATCACAGCCTATAGTAACACCTAAAGTATTACCTACATTAAATTAAGACATAGGTAATACCTTCTTGGTTTTGGGTGCATCCTTAGGAAGCTGGTGATAAACGTCCCCCAACTCCACTAACAACTTAGCAACCAAATACACACACATCTCTCCCTCCCTCCCTACCTCCTCTCTCTCTCTCTCTCTCTCTCTCTCTCTCTCTCTATTACAACAAAGTTAACTTAAGGGGTCTACCTTCTTAGCCTTGGGGGTGTCCAGTGGGAGCTGGTCGTCTGAGTCACCCCAGGAATCATCAGCTCCATTCCCATCCACATCTGATGCCCTGCTCACAGAGTCCTCTGAGAAGTCACCTGGGGATGAGGGGTGTAGAGTGAGTTAAATTTTACAGTGGTTTTCTTTATATCATAATTGTGCAAATACTTCACTGTTAGGAATTATGATGTTGAAACTGTAAAAAAAAACAAAAAAAACTTGAGATAATGAACATTATTCTTAGTCTTTACGCTTTAGTGCAAGGTGAGATACTGCCATGTGACAGATATATATATATATATATATATATATATATATATATATATATATACACACACACACACACACACACATACACAGAATAGTCATTTGCATGCAAGGTGAGACACTGCCATATGTCAGATATATCAACAGAATAGTCATATTTGTGCTTGGTTTGTTCCTTAATAGATGTGTTGTAAGTGGATTTCTGCTGTGGCTTTTTTTTTTTTCAGATACAGATGGAGGAAAATGGGAATGACATTGGATTCTTTACTTTAAGGATCATTTACTGTATGTCATACAAAGCTCTCACAGCAGTAAAAAAAAGTCAAACCTTAAAATATCAACACAAATAAACATTAAATCAATTTTCATGCATCAAATGGAACTTTTCGACACAAAAATCAGCATTTCAAATCTATGAACTTTTTACCTCTTCTCTTTTTCTCTAAAAGGATAGCAAATTTAAGATAGATAGAAAAAAGCTATTAAGCATTATACAATCAGCATAATTTAACTTACTACTGTGCTTCAATAATGCTAGGTGGTGTTCCCCATTACAATAATACACAGTGTAATTCAAGATTCTATAAGATGTAATGAACAGTTACTATGAATAAAAATTCATCAACTACTTAATACAAAGTAATAAGAAAAACAAAACATCAATTTTCTAACATTCTATTACTATGATCTTCAGCAAAAATGACCAGAAAATACAAACACCACCAATTACTCCCAATTTTAAAACAAAATCTACATGATACAAAATCTACAAAAAACAATTATCCCCTGCAATTATCCCCTGTATGTATAGACATAGGCCCTCACCAACCACCTCAACTGAAATTGCTATTTTTCTCAGAATAAAATGAATATTTTCCCAATTACTACCCCCATAAAAAATACACATCAATTTACCTCCTGCATCAAGAGCAGGGGCTCCAAACCCCATGCTTTCTCCCTTGTTCTTGGACTGTCCCTTGTGTACTGGGGTGCCCTTCTTGCTTCCCACGGCAGCCCCCAGGTCCCTGGCACTGCTCCCCGCTGACCTGGGGGTCCTGTGCTTCATGGTGTAATCTGCTATCAACTGGGAACAGGCATGCTGGCCAGCTATAACAGCACAGTCATCAGCTGTCCAACCTACAGGGAAGGGATACAATAAAGGTTAAAATGCCCTAGCGTGTGGTAAAAGCAACATTATATCTTATGCTAGGTTCAAGCATGATCATTTCTGAGAGAAAAGAAGAAATCTGTCTCTATTTTAAACTTGGTTATAGAAACCATTATTTTGGGCAAAATACAATTTATGTTGTGTACTAAATTTGCTCTAAAAGGGGGTTTGGTAGTGTGCAGGCTAAGAACATGCAACAAAGCAATAATAATTTGGCGCCATCAGTGAGGTACCTTTGGCATCTTTGCATGTTGTATCTGCTTCTTGCTGCAAGAATAACTTGACCAGAGTTACATTGCCCTCCTGACAGGCATACATCAGGGCAGTCCTGGAGAATAAGTAAAAATAATAATAATAATGATAATAATAATAATAATATTACAACCAAAATTAAAACAGGCAATAAGTTTAACAAGCTACACACTTATATACCGCAGCTGTCTTTACACAATATTTTTGTCTTAAAAATCTTTTGTCATGAAACCAAAATAGAATATACTTTCACGGCAGTAAAAAGTCTTGCAAGGAGAAAATATACTGCCTGTATAAAGGCTCATCCCAGAGCAGAAAAAACTGACTATATGAGTGCTCATCCCAGAACAGAATAAACACTCAGTGCAAACACTGGCTGTGACAATACTCCTACCTCTGCTGGCTGTCCATGGCATTGATGTTGGCACCCTCTTCCAGCAATATCTGGCACAAATTCTCCTGCCCTGCTAGCACAGCCACATGCAGGGGGCAACGACCCTCCTGGAAAACACAATGTCATTTAATACAGAAATTAAAACTTTTTTTCAGAAACACAAACAGTGTGTGTGTGTGTGTGTGTGTGTGTGTGTGTGTGTGTGTGTGTGTGTGTGTGTCAGAGCAACCAGATGTATGCACACATTTACATATTTGCCTAATGCTATACATGAGCAAAAGTAAAAAGTGTATGTTTCATGACATAGCTCAGTAATACCTTGTTCTGTATATCTGGCTTTGCCCCTGTCTGTAGTAGCAGACTTGCCATGTCATACAGTCCTTCATTTGCACAGTAGTGTAGACAGGAGTCCCCAAGCCTGTCTTGAACATTGGGATCAGCTTTGGCATCTAGGAGTAAACTTGCACATTGGTCCTTGTGACACTGGACAGCCTGATGAAAACCAAATATATATATATCAAATACAACAGCAATGCATCAACACAGAATGGGGATGGGGGCGGGGGGCATTAAACAATTCATGCTATATTTCTATTTACTTTTTGGTAAGCAATTTATCAATTTTTGCAGGATACAGTAAAATAACTGAATAAAAAGCCCATTGTTAATCTGGGTAGACCTTGTTAATATCTACCATGGTTTTAAGGCAAAAAGTGGTTGGGCACTTACTAATAATAAATATGATATTTATCTAAATCAAACATAGTCCACAACAATCAAGAATTACTAAAATTTACATATAAAATAATTTTTTAATATTACATTTACAAATAGCATGTTGCATGTTAGAATATCTCCAAGAAGTAAATACAATGTTTATTCAGTCTTTTATCCTGAGAATTTATTGATTTACACCACACTTATTGAGGTCACCTGTATATCATCAATATGTGAATATTCAATTAAGGCCACCTGTGAATAACAGGTGTTCTTTAACCACAAAACCTCTTATTAATTAATGATCATGAGAAGTGAACAAAGGATTACTAGTAGTTGACAGGTGTTTGATTGTTTTTTTATGTAAATATCAATCCTCAGGCTGTAGGCCACAGTTTTAAAATTGTTCTTTATACAGGACTTATTGCATTTGTTTTTCTGTTTTTTTCTTCTTTCTTTCTAGTAGCACACCCCTATACTTATAAGTTTCCACTTTAACTAATGATAAATAATTATCTAAAATATAAATAATTCAATGGATGAAAATAAGAAGGGAATTATTTCCCAATTACCTTTAGCCGAACTCAATTACTTCCATTTGATATATTGAAATATTGATTCAAAACAGTAATGAATTGAAGGAAATGTGAAAAAAAATAGATATACATAATGTAAATTATTTATTGCCTTTGCAAAAGTTAATCATGTTCAGCATTAAGTGGAAATATAAGATATTTGTGAGTCTAGTCATTTGAAATGTGTTCCAGGCACCTACCCTAGCCAGTGGAGTGCACTGGTCACTGTCTCCTATGTTGAGTTTGGCTTTCCAGGCTATCAGCTCCTCTACTATCTCTGTGTGGCCCTTGGCACAGGCAAGGTGGAGAGGAGTCCTGAAATTGATAGGAAAAATATTACAGGTAATTAAAACTTAGTTATAGATCAAGGAGGTATAAAAAAAGGGGCAGAAGTCACATAAAACAAGAACCATGATCTAAAGCTACTCAATTTTTCAAAAAAAAAAATTGGCTGAAAAATAGTCCTAGTCCCTTATCGAAAAAGGTAGATAAGATGCACTCTGAAACCTAAAGAAGAATTTATCTTGTACGTGCAATTTTGCACAAAACACCTCAAACTTTCAAAATTGCAGTATGGTAAAGGAAGACGTTAAATCCCCACCACTATCCACCACACACACACACACACTTATTATAGACTTTTCCGTATTTGCAGATATCTAAAAAATGTCTGGTTGTGACAGTATTCACCCATATCAAATTGGGCCTCATATATCACTTCTATGACCCAGTGATGGTGACAGTTCTTGAATTTGTATAATTTTCAAAGCACAGAATAAAAATAATTTATAATAATATCAGGACCTTACATTCAACTATTTTGCTCTTCACTCCTTGGTATACATAATGTGCTGATAAAGGAATTCTCAGAATATACCTACCTATTTTCTTTATCGAGTGGGCTAGCCTCTTTCTTGGCTAGTTGTTTGACTTTCGCCAAGTCGCCTTGCCAAGCCGCTTTATGAAGTTTCCCTAAATCCTTCTCTTTCAGCGACGTATAGCCAATATTCACTTGAGTCTGGGCTGCATCCGATGCATCCTGAGCATTATCTGATTTCTTGCTCTTACCAAATTTAAGAAATTTCTTCATGGTGAAATAAATGCAAAAAATAAATAAATATCAGGCGAGTGTTCGATTGGCGTCCGCCATGATTTAAACAACCTCGTTTTCGATTAGATAATTCTAAAATACTTTCTGAGAGATGGCGTTTGTCATGAGAAGCTTCATAACAGTGAGCACGGTTGTAAAAATATACAACACATTAGATTATCTCATCAGCTTAAAGTTAACAATTTGAATCGAATGCTTATTTTGTAGCAAAAAATATCATATCAAATGCAAAATATTCTCACTTCAATTGTATCTCTTCTTGATTGAAAAAGGTCAACTCGGGTCAACCTGCCGCAACCTTCACCCTGCAGCAACAACATGGCATCAAGACTGCAGCTGAGACAGGCACTTGTTTTCAGCCTAGGGTGGATTGCATATGCTTCTACATATCTCCTTAGGAAACCCTTGGGTGTTGTAAGTAGAACTAACACATAAGATTGCATATCTCCCCAGGAAACTCTTGCGTGTTTTAAGAAGAACTTACATTATCCTGCTTCTCTGCATGCAATTTCATTATTAATTTAGGTATATCAGAAAAATTTTCAAACTGATCAGAAAATTATAATACTTATATCATCTGAAAGGTAATGCAAAAACCGGAAGAAATCACTTGGAATTTTTTAAATATTCCTACAAGCAACAAAGATATTGAAGTTTTTTAACTGCAAAAATTCACCAAAAGTGTCCACACTGTTCAGCTTAAAACCTGTCACTACTGACCAGCGGTGATCACTCAGCAGTAGCTGCAGCTCAAATTGCTTGTGACCAATTAGGGCAATTAGGGCTGTATGTTAATCTAATGACCCGGAAACAAACCCAAATTGGCGACCGCACAAGCACATGGCTGGGATTGCTTTCGTGCAGAACATGTACTAAAAATATTGTGCATCAAATAAACTATATACTTCGCATGGTTTAATTTTCATGATTTTTCTACATAATATTGCAAATTTCATAAACTTTGTTCGTTATAAATTTAAAAAAATTGCAACCAGTACTAAACTGACATTTTTGAGCATTTTGTCGAGGCAAAACTTCAAACACCCTGAACTGAAACTTCTCAAAGACTGCAACTCGGGAAAATCACGTGATCGGATTTTACTCTTTGATTTACAGCTTATTTAGTTAATGGCTTGTATTAGTTTTTTTTACGCGACGCTAAAAGAGATTTAAAAAAGGGGTGCCATAGGCGAGCTGTCAGCAGGCCGATATCAGTTTTACACTTCACTGCCCCTGGATAGTTACTATTGTAGCGCCCCTAGCGGATTGTGATATACCTTATTAATTATTATGCATTAAATGCATAATTGAAAGGGATAACAAATCTTCATATGAGATTCAAAATACCACAATAAATGCATTGTAAACAACACACAGAAATTATATTAAATTATCACCAAAATTGCAGTCATCACAATATTTCTGAAATCCTTGCTTGCCATCAGACCATTGGACCTTCAAATATATCATGTAGATGGATACCTTTTGTAACAATACCTTAAGAGATACATGTAATTACAAAAAAAAAAAAAAAAAAAAAAAGGGGAAATTCTTTTTATGGCATTTTCCTACCAAAATGAAGACTTGTTATTCCTTTAAAATATATGAAAAAATATGCTGCACAACCAAGATGCATGCACTTTCGTGATATGTTTCAAACAGACTATTGCCACTGCAAATCGAAAAGCAGTTGCAATGTTATATGCAACATTTACAATTATGGCATTATTATAGCAGTGAAAGGTCAATTGGGAGTGAAGAGAATGATATGCAAAAAGGGATCAGGCTCTGAAATAACTTCAGTCAAACAAGCATCATGTGACATACAATTACTTTTTGAAGTAACATGGAACAGTGCAGCCACATATTTTTGAATTATCAAAATTTCAAAAATTATAGAAAACCCATTTACTGAGTATCTTGCCATTTTGAACAGATCAAAACAGATCTGGAAGATGATCTGAAGTTCTCCAAATTGCAGCTTGGATGGATGGATACTGCACTTCTCTTGCCATATGCAGTAATGCAGGTGAGCACAATGTCACACCCACTGTCACACCTAACACATTTACATCAAATTACCCATTTGGCCTTTTATACTATACCAATATATTATATCTTTAAGTAGCATTGTGTTTAACACAGTGTCATTGATTTGCCACACCTAACACCTTGTCACTGTCTACGTATATATTTTTTCCACTGATTGGTGCACCAAATGCATTTCATGTTTTTTAATTGTAGCTTGAACATGTACATATCTTATGGCAGATAATCTGACTAATTTGTTTTTAAATATTTCAGATGTTTTTAGGATCACTTGGGGATCGTTTTGGTGCAAGAAAGACTTTTGCTTTATCGCTTATAGTTTCAGGATTGTCTATGGTGAGTGGCTACATTATATGTTTCAACTTTTATGTTGAAGACATTTTAAACTTTTCACTTCTTACACTCACTGAAAGCATACTTGTAAAAGATTTTGTCCCAAATATTGCAACTACTTAATCATTAGTCACACTGATGTCAGGAGACAGTGAAAAGTTTAAAATTTCCTCAACATGATCAACAATACTGCAAAGATCAAGTTCCATCAGAATACATAGTTTAGTCGCATTGAATTAGAATAAAATATTATCAGTATGATATGATGTACAGTTTTGATTTAAAAAGGAAATTTAAAAATTCAGTCTAAATGGCATAAATAAACTTTTAAAATATATACTAGTATTCCCATAGAGTTTGTTTGGCATGTGACTCATAGTTAATAATCTGTATTCACAACATTGTTATTAATTGCATCGCATCTATTCCAAGACAGATAGGCATATTTAGAAATAATATGCCAAAACTAGGTTTTTAAGTTCTGTCATTGAACTTTTTTGCCATACATGCCCAGTATTTATTCACTAAACTCAAGCAAAATTAATTTTACTAAACAATGTTTTGTCAACATAAGATAGAAAATGTCTTATTGTGATTAACAAAAAAGGAATCTTGAAAAATATAATATTGTGAGTTTAAAAATTGCAACAAAATTATCATGATAATATTTTTAATTGGTATGGATTTCTTTGTATTTCAGATCTCTCTGGGGCAGTGGAGTTCATACCACATATTTATAGTTCTTTTATTCATAAATGGAACAGCACAGGTAAGGAGGGTTATGTTTCATAAAAAGACTGGTTGTTTCTTGCTAGACTGAACAGCATAATTTATTTTTATTATAAAGCCAATGTTGTGCCAGAAATAATACTTAATACTTTGATAAATTCAAAAGTTCATGAAAGAGAAAGGGCGTAATTCTATTGTGCCATTTATGTTGTCTTAGAAAACAGTACAAAAGTGACACTCCAAAAAATTGTGAATTTGAACTGTTGTGCAGTAGACTACAATCAGGCAGTGTTAAGATAAAACAACCAGAAAAATGGCTTCCATCAGCACGTGCCAGTGTCAGACCCCACTCTCCAAATTGCACAAAATCTTGCTTGATTATATACTACGTCACGAGGCATTAAATTATTTTATTTGATGCCTATTGATATTTTTTTACAGTTTTTATTCATATTTGTTTAGTCTCTGTGTTGGCCATCATGTTCCAAGACCATAGGAGCCTGGTTCTCAGACAGTACCAGAAACACTGTGTTTGGGATATATGGAACATCAGCCTTTGCTGGAGGAATCGCTGGGACTTCTTTGGCAGTGAGTAATTATAGCCAATAGAATGCTATCCTGTCTGTGTACTGCTGGGCTCACAGTGATGTTATAACAATTGTTAAAGCAGATAGTTAAGAACAAGTCCATCCAAGACTCTGAAAAAAATTTAAGTTATTGATTAGTCTGTGTCAACTTCACTGGCTTCAACTAGCTAAGCATTGTTTTTTGCCTCTTTTCATACTAAATGATGTGATTAGTGCACTTAACAAAGAAGTAGATTTGCTATATTTTTTATTGTTAAATTTTTACTTTTAGGTATATCTCCAATCTCTGTATTCCTGGAGGTCTGTGTTTTTCTTGCCATCTGTTATATTGGTAAGTTAATATAATAATTATGTTACAATAAATGCAAATGCTTTCGAAGTCTAAGTTGAAGATCTATGATAAATGCAATGATGCATTTTTATTCTTCTTTACTTTGTGTGAATTATTATTATTATTATTATGTTTTTATGTATGTGACTGTATGTTGCTTTGCATAGTTGTGTGTACATTTAGTCTATTCTTAAAATATTAGACTATTCTGTGCATGTTAAGGTGTTTTTCTTCATACTATTATTATTGTAGAATTATTATTGTTGTCATTGTTGTTGTTATTTTAGATTCTACTTGGTGTAGTAGTACTAATCTGTTTCTGTATCCCTGCTGATGTGGGTATAGAAGTCCCGGGGAAAGGTGATAATAAATTCTAAGGGCTCACCTTAGCATTAACTGGTTACCTTTTAATATCTAAATAATATTAAATATGGGGAGACTGAAGCATGGGGATGTTCATTACATTTTAATTAAAAAATTATGACATATCAATGTAATTGATAACATTTTGTGTCAGTATTAATGTGGAATTTTGAGACGTATAAATCAGTTTCTTTTTTTTTCAGTTTTAAAAGTTGAATAATTCCAGTGTTTTAATTGCTTTGTTTGAATAGCAGCCTCAAGTACAAGGATGAAAAATGGTACAAATCCTACCTTTTTGCAACTGTGGCAAATTCCGTAAGCTATTTTGAAAAATTGTTTGTTAATGTAAAATACTGTTTGCTTGAAATCTGTCTCTTTCTGCAGATATTGATACAAAACTTGCAGATTGTATTTCACTGTTAACTGTTGTTTTACTGTTGCATGTTACAAAACCAGTATAATAAAATTTTAAGTAATTTTTGTTCCTATTCAGCCCCCTACGCATCTGTCAGAAAGCAGTTAGTAGTAGCAACTTGCCATTTTTAATAAAACCTTTTTTTAACTTTTTAATTCCTCTTACTCTTTTTAGTATGGTACCAGAGATTTCAGTGGGGATGTTTTGCCTAAAACTTGTCCGTTACTGCATGTACATGTGGCTGCCTATGTACCTGTTACAACATGTGAGGAAACATACACAACACTGTCTGGTAGATTTAGGATGAGAGAAATACAAAGTTGTTTTCCAAAATCAAAATCATTTTTTAATTTGAATTATGTTATTTGAGACATTTTGCTGTGCTGCGCTTAATGTGTAATTTCCCCGTCTTTTTAAAAATGGTGACTGCTTATATTTTGTTTTGAAAAAGAAATTTTCTATTGTATTTCAGCTCTCCTATGCTAAGACAATGGCAGGGATGTTTTCCACCATGTTTGAGATAGGAGGTGTGGCTGGGAGTGCTTTTATAGGATTTATACTTGACAGGTATGACTCAACTGCTGGATGCTAATATAGAAGAAAATTGATTACAATCTGTAGTAAATGACATAGCATGTTGCATGGGTCTTGCTTTAGGTAATGAATGTTTGGTCTTTAGCTATAATAATAATAATGATGATATTATATATCATAAGCTCTTTTCAGCAATTAAGATATCTATAATAATTACTTTGAACATTATTTTAAACCATTGCATATCAAAGTCCGAACTCTCAAATTATTTGCAAATTCGAGAAACTGACAATATAAATCACATTAAATGTCCCTTCATTATTTTGTTATCCATGAATGGTATCTGCATGGGACAAGTCCAGTTTTATTCAATTTTAAATAAATTTGCTTTTATATGTTCATATCCGTATTGTTAGATTTTCCCATGAATTTTCCATTCGGGGTATGGTTTTTTCTTGTTACTAAGCAGTTCAGTCATACTAGTAATGTTAATATATTGTGTAATTGCTATAACTGTTCTAGACTGGTGTTTTTCATGGGATTTATTTTCTGGAAGCAAGTCTTTCCATGAGATAACCAAGTTTTATAAATTGTAATATAATATTGATAATAATTTGTTAACTTATTGTTCTAAATTTGCACCTGGATATTTCTTACTTGGAACAGGCATTTACATGTTACCAAGCATTACAATAATTGTTAATGTTGATAATTGTATTGTTATTGTACCAGGTATTTCCAATGACATTTCTTACCTGGAACAGCTCTTTCCATGCTGTTCAGTACTACAATGATCATTGTAAATGTTGATAATTTAAAATTAAATTGTATTGTTATTATACCAGGTGTTTCCAGGGGTATTTCTTACCTGGAACAGCTCTTTCCATGCTGTTAAGTACTTTGATGATCATTGTAAATGTTGATAATTTAAAATCAAATTGTATTATTATTATACCAGGTGTTTCCAGAGGCGTTTCCTATTTGGCACAGCTCTTTACAATGTTGTAAAGTATTACAATGATCATTGTAAATGTTGATAATTTAAAATTAAATTGTATTGTTATTTTACCAGGTGTTTCCAGAGGCGTTTCCTATTTGGCACAGCTCTTTCCATGTTTTAAAGCATTACAATGATCATTGTAAATGTTGATAATTTAAAATTCAACTGTATTGTTATTGATCCAGGTATTTCCAGGGGCATTCCTTACTTGGAACAGCTCTTTACATGTTGTAAGGTATTACAATGATCACTGTAAATGTTGATAATTTAAAATTAAATTGTATTGTTATTTTACCAGGTGTTTCCAGGGTCATTTTCTACATAGCGCAGCTCTTTCCATATTTTAATTAAAGTATTACAATGATCATTGTAAATGTTGATAATTTTCCTTACTTGGAACAGGCCTTTAAATGTTACGAAGTATAACAATAATTGTTAATGTTGATAATTGTATTGTTATTGTTCAAAATTAAATTGTATTGTAATTGTACCAGGTGTTTCCAGGGTCATTTCCTACTTGGAACAGCTCTTTCCATATTGTAAGGTATTACAATGATCATTGTAAATGTTGATAATTTAAAATTAAATTGTATTGTTATTGCACCAGGTGTTTCCAGTGACATTTCTTACCTGGAACAGCTCTTTACATGTTGTGAAGTACTACAATATGATCACTGTAAATGTTGATAATTTAAAATTAAATTGTATTGTTATTTTTCCAGGTGTTTCCAGGGGCGTTCTTTACTTGGCACAGCTCTCTCCATGCTACTGAGTACTGCAGCACTTCTGATGTTTGCTGGTACAAGCAGCTGGGGTTACTTGTTCAATTCTCTGTTTATGGTGCTTGCTGGTGCTTTCAACTGTGGGCCAGACAGTATACTTGGTGAGACACTTCAGGATAGTATATTTATTAGGGAATTGATATGGAGATAAATGGGGGATTTGGACAGTGATTGTTCTCTATTCATTGTACTTACTGGAACTTTCAGCCACTGGCCAGATATGAAGCTATTGCATTATTTCTGAAATAATACTATTCTCTAATATAATATCACAGACTTATAAAATCTGGAGGGGAGAAGTTGGGGTAGAGAACTTTTTTGGGTTGTGCTGTAACTGTAGCCACAGTGGGTTAGGTGGGTTTGGGTAGGGGGGGCATTGGTGTGGAGATGGTGTAGAGAGTGGTAAATTTCATTTATTTTGCTTTCAGCTCTGAAATGTGTTACTTTGTAGATATATCATGATACAAAATGCAAGAATTGCTAGCACAGTCTTTGTTTTGTAAATAGTATTGTATGTATATATTATATGTTCGCCTATTATTGACAGTGACATAACTTTGTAACTGCTGTTATTTTCAAAGAAATGCTGCACTCCAGTGTAATCTTTTATTTCAAAGAAGAAATTCTGTCAAAATCACATCTTGGACATAACAAACATTGGATGATATTTATACATATAAAAGAAATTGTGGACAATTTTTAATACTAACATTTATGGGAAATAAGAAACAAAAGGCAATTAATAATGATGATGTGCTTGTCATTTCTAGGTGGTGCAATTGGTGCAGAACTGGGGGAAATGGACGGAAGAAATGCAGCAGCAGCTGTCACAGGAATTATCAATGGTATAGTATTGTTATATGTAATTAATGAATTATGTACAAAGACTCCATATAGACTGTTTGATGTGGAAGTGTTGCATATCTGGAATATTTGAGACAAAGGCCAGAAAATCCCTTCTTTTTATGTTTTTACGTATGAGTATTATATATTTATTCTTGATCTTTTTGAGTATCACGCTTGTGTGGGGCATTTGAGGAGTCACTGATAAAGATGTGATTTCTCAGAAATCTATCTAGGCAGACTGAGTATTTCTGTCTTTTTTTTTTTTTTTACAATTGATATATACTTCAAATACATTTCCTCTTTCCCCAAAACACGTAGGGTTTGGCAGCGTCGGGGCATTCATAGAGGGTCCACTGATTGGTTTGGTGTCTGGCTACTATGGTTGGTCTGGCATGTTCTACCTGATGGTGCTCCTGTCCCTCTGTGGTACCTTGTCTGTATTCCGGGCAGCTATTGTATACAGTAGACAGAAATCTGGAGCTCGTTTGGAATCAGACTTGAAACTGATATCTGTAGTGTGACTGTTACAGTGATCTGAATGTGCAAATATTATAGAAAGAGGTTGAATTTTATTTTTGATGACGGCTTGGAGGACACTGGTGCAAAATTATTATTATTGTAAATAATTATAAAATATATGATGGTGCCCTTTTCAAATGCAATTTAAAATCGGTGTATGTGTTGCTATAAAATGATGTAAATCTCTTTATTTTTTAACATTATGATTAATTTATAGATTTTTATATTTCTTGTTAATAAAATATGTATTTATATTTTTTGTTTTTGTGAAAGGTGGAGGTTAAGTCATTCCAGATATATATATTTTATGTAATAGTTCAATTATAGTAGTTGTTAGTATTATATTATGTGGGATTAAATGATATATCAAGCCTACATCTGTTACAAAATATAGTTAATAAAATAATGAAACATTAAAATACTTAATTGCCAATTAGGAGTCCCACATCACACATCACTGTGTCACACTGTTCCACATTTTGAAGCATGTTATGTAAGTCTTTTATATAAGGTTAAAATGAAATATTTTCTAATCCCAACTTATGATAAGTGTTTTAGGACAGGATGACATTCAACTCCCATTACTCTAACTTACAATTACTTTATTTTATCATGTTATATTTAATTGTTATATAGGAATATATATGCATGTATGGCATCATGGACAAATACAGAAATGAGTGCAATGATGCCAAAAGAATCATTCCACATTTTAATAGATTTATAAAATGTTATGTAATTATATTATGTAATTAAAATTGAAGATTAAATCTTTTATGTGATTTCAGTTATAAGTCTAAAATAAATATTTGTTGTTTTGTTTCTTGTTTTACCCTTTTTTTTTTGGCATCCATCAGCTGTTTTCAAGTTTTTGCAAAAAATATTGTTATGTATGGTCATTTTATAGAATGATATAATTTATTATAACTACTTTAGTTTATTTTGTGTTGTAGTTGTGTATTTTCTTTTCATAATTTCAGTTAAATAAAGTAACTTATTTGACAATTCAGACAACACATCTTATCTAACAAATTAATTCCTAAGAAATTGTAGTTAGAATTACACAATTTGTAATTGAATGCATGGATCCTTAAAAACAGATTTTCTCCATGTAGAGTTGTCTGGATTTTTGCATAATGTGCGATTTGACTTGAAATGTAAAAACTTTTAATTTCAAATATGCAAAATGATGAGACATTTCATTAATGTAGAATTTTTTCTAGACATTTGTTTTTGTTGTGAAAATAATTAAGTCACTCCTCTTTATTCCCCCCATTTTTATATACAAACACTGTCTGTAAATATTCTGAACACCATGTCTGTCCATAGTGTTGCCCCCCAAAACATCAAGTCCCTATAACTGCTAAACACTATTTTTGTTTAACTTTGAATTAACTGAGTAGCATGGTTTGGTTAAAAAGGGGTTCCTTTCAGCATGATTTGATAAATTTTACAAAAGTTACATAACTATTTATTTATTTATTTATTTATTGTGCATGTATTTTGTTCACGTTTTCTCTATAAATGCCAAACCATATATATATATATATATATATATATATATATATATATATATATATATATATATATATATATATATATATATTTTTTTTTTTTTGTTAAATTTTCACATATTATCAAGCTTGTACCTATTTAAAGTCGGCTTAATCATATTTTTTTACAAAAGTTATTTAATTTTGTGCAAATGTATTTATGGGACGGTTGCAACATATACGTTACAGTTATTGGCATCCAGCCACATTTTTGCTTTACTTCAAATTTTCTGAGTGAAAAAAATTCATATAATTAATTTTTTTTTAATTTACTTATTTTTGTAAATACTGTTGCAAGTTTTACAAGCTTCAGCTAAGGCTACAAAACACTCCTGTACTTGAAGCTTTGCTGTGTACTGCAGGTCCCGCGTGCTGCAAATTGATTGTGTTAGATGAGACCAATAATCTCTAATTTGAAGTTCCTCATAAGATGTAAATGTATATCATTATCAACCCCCACTTTGCCTATCAATTATTAAAATGTACAATGGAAAACATCCCAATTTATTCTCAGTATCGGATCAATGAATTACTTGGGTCGATTTCCTTTGGCTATGAGATTATTATTAAGGTCAAAGGTCGTCCGTCTCACGAGAATAAAAGCCGGGTGGTATTTTGCAGCGTCATCCAGACAACTCTGACGTTTAAACAGCGTTGAAGTCTGAAAGTACGTGGATCCTTTGGATCATTTATCTCTGAGGTTACTTTCAAGATTAAACGAACACGTTCACCGGCTCCCGAACATAACACCAGCGTTCGGGCAGCAAAAATGGCGCCACTTGCGGGGGACCCGAAAACTATCGTGCAAGACCATATTAACAAGCACAAAGTGATGATATTCAGCAAAACTACCTGTCCTTTTTGCAAAAAGGTAAAGAAGCGTATCATTTTTATCTCTGGTGTGGTTGGAATGGAAGAGCATGAGTCTCGAGCGTGTGTATGACGCGCAGTGATTTGTATTGGAAACTTCTAGATTTTGTCTAAAACTTGCAGTCTAGATTTACATGAAAGAAATCGCGTCCATTACGATGTCAATACCTTTGATTTAATGAAGTTGTGTTACAGAATCCCAGATTATTTTTTGTTTAACCCACAGCGTTTACTATCACATTCAGGGGTGGAGCCATGATTATTTGCTCTTTACTGTTTGGGCAGAATTTCTATCTGGAGCAGCACAGGATCAAGATATATGTCAGATATCCAGACATGCTGAAAACTTTTCAGAATGGCCAGACATTTGGACCGACAGTATTGAAAAATTTGGTGGACCGAATGGATTTTTGTGGGACCGAAAATCACCCTATTCGAGAGGGGAATATTAGTGTGACACCCCCCCCCCCC